GACACACACACACAGGCAGTAGAAGGAAGTATTAGTCAACAACTCATCGTTCTTTTACATTACTTATTCTCGTTTTTTTTTTCCTACTGCTGTCGTTCTTCCATAGAATACATGACGAAGAAAAAATAAATGATAGATGCTTTTTGACACGCGTTTCTCATCAATTAAAACAATAAGTCACGAATCTTCTTATCTGGTTTCCTGGCTAATAAATTTGAAGTAATAATATCATAGTAAGTCTTATTATAGATATAAATATAGTGTCATTTTCATTTTTTTTTTTTTTTGCTCATTTCTTTTTTTTTTCCTATGTAATCTCACTATGATATAAAGAACACGCATGCTTACACAAGGTTAGCTTTCAATTATCAGATCTTAAAGTTAGCCTTAAGGATCGTATTGCTTTTTTTTTTTTTTGCTTATATGATGTGATGACTATTGCGTGTATGCGGGACGTGACATCAGCTTGGTAAGGAATATTTAGTTCTGTCTTTGCGATTGCATATGAAAGCTAACCATGAGACAAGAAGAAGGACATCAGAATACTACTGACGAGAAACAACGTCGGTAATTCTTTTGTTATTGGTAAAAAAGAAGAACACTCGCTTTGTCATGACAGATATTATCATCAAAACGGTACATAGATTGATAGATCGATAGATAGATAGATAGATAGACATATATATTTAGACACAGTTCAACAAAAGCACCAGGAGAATGTCAACAATCATTGCTGAATGTGTAAGATAATTGGGACACTTGACAATGTGTGGTGTGTCAATGCAGATAAATTCTCATTTCTTTTTCTCGCTTAGACGACTCAGATATTCTTCTTTTTTTCTTCTCATTTTTTGTTCTCTTATTTCGAGGACATTCATTACTGGTGCGCTTTTTTTCTCTTTTTGTTTTCCAATCAATATTCTAATCTTGTCTTCTAGCTTCTTTTTTTTTTTGCTTCTTTCTCATCTCATCATTGTTACATGTAACAATCACAACGGAACCGGCGCACGTCTTTTTATGCCGAAAAAAAGCAGAAAAAAAATCGAATTATTAACTTTTCTCTGTACGAAGCCACTTAATACTTCACATAGATCTTTTTTTTTTTCTTTAATAATCAATTGTATGAATTTATCTATTTCCTGTTTTTACTTTTGCTGATTCAAGGTAAGAACAAGTATAGCATCCTTTATTGATTGAACGACTATAATTTTCTGCACGAAGAACTCATTCAATTTTGCATAGACGAATAGAAATGTCTAAGCTTCGTTCATGCATTTATTCTCGATTTATATTTCCTCATTTCTTCTAGATAAGACGCATTTCAATACAAAGAAGAAGAAGAAGAAGAAAAAAAAGAAAAGGAAGACTATTATTCAACAAGAAAACATTCATGTTCTATGGAAACATCAAGACATAATCGTGCTTTTTTAGCTTATAATAATCATAATTTTAAAAATCGTCCATCAATAAAACAAACACCAATACCAACGACTGGAGAATCATCAGTATTTGATCATATTTCGTATTCATCGATAAAAACAAATACGGAAAAAGTTTCATCACAACCACCATCTCCTAATCCAAAAAATATTATCAAACCAATAGCAGTGCCAGCAAAACGACCATCATCAATAACTAGTATTGTTCATTTATTGCCACGTCGAAAAAGTTTACAAATAACAGCATTAGCTTCACAACGACAAAGTCTTTGGATGAATATAGCTAAGAATGCTCAAACAGATAATACACATGTACCACAATATCCATTACGACAACAACAAACAAATTTAATGCGAAAAAAACTTTTACGTTTAGTACTTGTTTTTAGTTATTTATTGTCAATATCATTGTTTGCAATTGCTTTAGCAACATTTTACGGTGTTTTTTGGACCGGTTATAGTACAACACAAACAACAACAACACATATGTCAACTGTTCTATTAAAATCAAATTCATCATTTATTGATATTGGTTCATCACTTAAAGATGTAAGTTTAAATAAATAAAATAAACATTTATTGTTATTTTATTTTCTTCTAGGATTAAGTATTCAAAACTTGATGTGATAAATATTATGCATCGTTTGATGTATTCATTCATCAATGCTGATTCATTATCCGTCCTGTAACAAGCTATTATTCATGGTACGGCAATTTTTCAACATTTCTTGGTAAGAAAGAAAAAAAAAAAAAGATAAAATTCCGAAAAGAATAAATGCAGAGAGAGAGAGAGAAAAAGAAGGCAGAACTCATTTGATCTTTTTTTTTCTAGATGTTTTTGTTTTCTTTACATATAGACAAATATGATCCAGTGATGATAATTAAACAGTTTGCTCCGGTGATAACGATTATTTTGTTTCTATTTTTTCCTCCCAGTATGTTTTGTTACATCCGGCTTCCTTTGTTTTTTTTTGTCTATATATGTATATGTGTGTTTTTGTTAATTATTCATTTTCAGAAAAAAAAAACACAGATTCTATCATATGGTTTTGTATTAACTTACCATGATCATCACTTAAAGCTGCTAAATGTTCAGCTTCAGCTTCGAGTTTAATTCGTTCATGATCAACTTCCTTAACACATTCTAATGCTGTTTTATTTACTGGTGCCATTTCACGTGATAAATAGAATATATCAATATGTTCTGGGATTGGTACCTAGGAAGAAAAGAAAATTCAATATGGAATAGACATATATATAATTTTTACAAAATTGTTCAGCGGGAGCGTCTTCTAAAAATTTGACTTTGACAAAGTACATGATTTTCATACCTTATCATTCAGGATATTTCCAGAGACTAAGCTACAAAATTAGGATTATTTTCATTTGAAAGAGAACTTCATGTTACTACGGATGAAGGAAAGGATTTTTTTTTTGTCTAAATCTCTACTCTGTTTCATGTTTCAGATTATCGAAACTTTCGAAATATAGAAATCGTAGAAATGGCATTCTGGAAAACTTAACCTTTTTCTAGCATTGATAATTAATTAGAAAATTCTTTTCTGCATCTCGAAGGCTATGCATATATCTATCAGTTAAAAAGAGTACAGCTTTCTCGAATAAACTATATTAAAGAAAACGCAAAAGAGCTATTTCTTTTGTTTAGTCTTTCTATTATTAATCATAATGGATGTGAAAAATAAAATATATTACATGTCAATCGAATGGCTTATCTATGTATATAAGATTTTCTTCGTACAAGATATATCACTATCTACCATTGACTTAATATTTCTTGTAGTATTCACTCATATAATAAAGACTCATAATGGTGGTTAGTTAATTAATAAGAAATATACTATTTTATTTTATATAAAGGATTTAATTTGAGGGTGTGGGTGTGGATAGACCATGCGATTAGGAAGAGGAAGTGGAATGATTTCCTATTCTAAATTTTCTCTTGCTTCTAATCTTTCTTCCTGAAAATTTTTGTTGACTACGATATAGGAAATTTTTTGGTATGTCCTATAGCACAGATATAAGTAAAATATGCACAAGAGAAAACTTTCTTCGTAGTCTTCAGAGAGAACTGTTGGTCTTCCTTGGAATAGAAAGCGTTTTTTTTTTCTGAATAGTTACGGAACAGCAGAGTTATGAATAGAGAGAAGATATACATCCACACACTCCAGCCATCGAAAATCTCAAAAGTCTACCTCTAAAGTGTTCAAGAATTAATTATTTTGCTGATCTAGCTTTACAAAAAAATTTTACTAATTGCTCTAGACATCATCATTGATCTAGAGAGTTGCAAACATCATTCATAAAAGCTTTCAAAAACCCTCCGAAAATAAAAACTTTTTTCAATGAATTCTTGCATTAGATGATTCAAGTATCATGTTCATATGTTTATCTCATCTCAACAAATACATATTTCAAGATCCTTATACACACTCATATTGAGATCAGCCCATGCCCCCTAACTGTCATAGTTTCAAATATTAGCACGTTTGTTTTTTTTTTGTCGACATTTTCATTTTCGACGCTATTCATGTGTCTCGACATTAAATAATAATCAACTCTTTGAAAACGTTGTCATACGAAACTTATTTACATTTTCTTCAGAAAAACCTTACAAAAAAAAAATCGAATTTTACACTCGAAGAGTTAACTATACTTTAAGTTACTATCGATATGATAGATTAGCACAATTTCATTAGATTTTGGTGAGTTATTATAAAATTAAGTTTTTTTTTCCTTTCGTTAAGAAATATGAAAATTATACGAGACAACTTCTTTTTCGTAAGATAGTTTCGTTTATTATAGTGCTAATAAATTTTTTTACCTCTCGATTTCCAATAGCCGCAAGTATAGTTGATTTGCCTGATCCATTTAAGCCAACGAGACCATATCGTCTACCACAATTCATTTCAAAATCTGCATCAGATAATATTTCTTGTCCATGAAAAGTAACTGAAAATTGATTTATATGAATATCACGACCACTAGGATGACTTCCAAGAACACCTTTAAATAATGAAGCAAAAAGATTTATAAAAGAAACAAAATCATAATTTTTTTTTATTGTGTACCTGTGCAGGATCGTGCTTCGGCATTGGCTTTTTCAACCATAGTTAATAAATCAAGATTTTGTATTAGTGATTTAACATTTGGATCAACATCATTTGTTGCACCATTTGCTTCATTTGTTTTACCATTGGTTGCATTTGTTGTTGTTCCATTCGTTCCATTTGTAAGATTTTCATTTTCATTTTGAATTTCATCATCATCATTGTCATCGAATAAATCATCATTATTTTGATTAGCATTAGAATTATTTGTTGTGTTAACTTTTTTACTTGGCTGAGCTTGTCGTTGTTTAGCGGCAGCTTTTTTTTGAAGATCACGTTTCTTTTTTGCATCGGACGGCATTGTGCTGACTATTAAATGATCTACAAAAGAAAATAGTCATAATAATAATAACCATAATAATTGTATCTGATGTTTTATTTATCTGACAATAGAAGAACCAAAAAAAAAAATATATAACATTTTATCTGATTATTAAACAATATGTTCAGCTATTTTTCGTTGTATTAAATGTTCAGCATCGGATGTTAATACATAATGTTCACTATTAAATGTTAATTGTATTATTGTACCATCACTTGTTTCATATGGACCATACTCTTGTATACATTTAATATGTGCAAATAATTTTTTAGGTGGAATCATAAATGTTGTTAAATCAAGTGAATGATTATTACCAATTGAACGCATATATGATGATAATGTTTGATTATAATTTGAAAAAAATTCTAATTCATCAATTGATAAATTATTTCTTATATATTCTGGTAAAACAGGTCCTATTGACCAACGAAATGATTTTATTTTATTCATACGATGATATGCATATGCAAGTAGACAACGTTTTATTCGTTGTATAGCTGCATGACGAATACTTATTGTTGGCATTAATGTTGGTGGAGAACTTGCACCATTATTATCTGTACCGGCTTGTACAACTGTTTGAACATCTTCATAATTTTGACGAAATAATTCATTTGCTTCAAGTTGACAAAGACGAATAGTTTCAATATTATAAGGAGGTAATATTGTATCACGAGAACGATCAAGTTCTTTGATTAATTCATGAGCTTTAGCAGCGAGCATCTGAAAAAGACAAATTTATTCAATAGATGAGCAAAGAAAAAGAAATTGAAAAAAAGAACCGATTTTATTGCAAATCATTAAAATCATACGAGCTACATCGATAATGTTGGCCATTGTTTATACCTTCTTGTGTTTTTGCTCAAATCGTTTGAAAAATTCAACAAGAAGAAAAAGAAACGAAAATCAATAACCATTGTATGAAAAGAAACGAAAAAAAAAAAAAGAAGAAAAAAAAATCGATTATGTCAAAAATAAGAATGATAAAGAAAAGCCCCTCGTTTCTTTTTTCTTTAGTGATATAATAAAATAAGCAATAAAATGAAGAAGAAGACCAACAATAAAAAGATCGTACGCGTATACATGTCTATTCAAAAACGACGAAAAACAAATCTTTCTTTCATTTCACACCCACTGCACAGGACCTGTACATGTCGAACATACATAAAGATTTTTTCCAACAAACGCTAATTTAGTTGTTGATGAATTATCAGTTGTCGATGATGAATTATTACTTTCGCCTAATTCTTTAAGTAAAGTTAAAATACGTGTTTTTGTTTCGTTATCAAAATTAGACAATGATGGCAATGAAGTTGAAGTAGTAATTGATATTTTATCATTATATAATGGAATAGCTTGCTCAGACGTTGCTGATGAGGGTAATGTATTATCAACCATTTCAGGCCATTCTAGAAAACAGAAAAAAAAGCAGATATTATACATACGGATTTTACCATCTAATATAATTCTTTCATCTGATCACATTCATTTCTCGTTCTAATGTACTACAGCATAACCTTTACAAGAGCGGATACTCTTCAGAATTTTCAAGATCGTCCACTATCAAGAAGCTAGGTATTTTCTAAAACGAGTTTTTTACGAAGAATAGATTCGCTTTCATAGCTTTTGCAGCATATTAGTCAATAAACTAATTATTGCTCATTATTATTTGTTTTTTCAGGCATTTTTGACTTTGAAAAATTAACAATTGTTAAAATATACTAAAGTCATTCTGTCGCAAATGTCTCACTAGTCAGTCATTAAGTACAAAAAACCGAAAAAAAAATAATTCTGATTAATGGAAAATATCAAAGTATGATTAAACCAGGTTCGAATCCGAAAATTTTGGACCCGATGGACTCTATCATTGGAATTTTTTCCAAAGTATTCACTATAGAATATTAATTCTATGATGATGTGTACTATAAAGAAGTTTATTTCCAATAAAATGTAATAGCTGAGACTTTCAGCATTGTCCACCAGATGAAGATTTTATCTGTAGATATCAAAGTTTTTTTTTTCTAATATCATTTAAGTCAAATAATCTTTCGATAAAGAAGACAAATATCAAAAATGAGAAACAATTGTTTGGCTCAGTGTTAATGATAAAATGATTTCTACAAAGAATTTCTTCTATTCAGATTGAAGACTGAACTTGAATACATCATTGCCAAACATGAGATTCGAACCTTTTTAAACTATATCATCGAATATCTAAACTAAAAATGTTTATACCATTTTCATCGATATTTGGTTGTTCATTCGATGAAATTGTTTTATTAGGAATAGATGGTTGATTTATTGTATCTGTCGATGGTTTATTCAAACCACGCATTAATAATGTTTCTAATTCAGAGAGTTTTCTCTAAAAATAAATCAATATGAAATTACATAAAAATCGATAAAAATAATTATTTTCTTTTTTTACTTGTAAACCTAATCGATCATGAGTTAATTGTTTAATATAATCATCTTTTTCTTGATAACGTCGATGAAGTTGTTGCCGTTGTTGTTGATATAAAGATATATAATCACCTATTTACAGAAGAAGAAAAAAAAAAAAACAAAAAACTCTTAATAAATCAATTTTTTTTTTATTTCTTTATTTATACCAATTGTATCAGTTTCACTTTGTAATTGTAAAATAAGATGTTCAAGTTGTTGAGTTCGATCTTGTAAATCAGCATTATCACGCATTGCTCGATTAAAACGATCCTAAAAAAATTTTAAATCATAAAACAAAACCTAATCAAAGATAATTCAAAAATAGTTTTACAATAATTTTATCAACAAATCCACTTTGAAGTTGATGAGTATCATCAACAACTGAACCAAGTGATGTTAATGAACTTGAATCATTGATTTGTATATCACTTTTCGGTTGAGATTCTGTTTGCTGTTCAAATTGTAAAAGACATTGTCGTAATGTTTTATTTTCTTCTAATAATTCATTTAGTCGCTAAAAAATAAATAAATAAATAAATACAAATGTAATATATTCTATAAATTGATATATCAATCAGTATTCTTAATAGATCAAATTTTAACCAAACTGAAAACATTTCAAAAAAATTCAGAAGAATTTAAGAATTAAAGCAAGTATTAAATTAAATAATTAACTATTATAGCAATTAATGATTACTTTAAAAGAGATGATCTAGAAATTTTATAGATTTTGTTTTGTCACAAGTTTTCGATGATGTAGAATCTAAAGGCGTATTAGTGAAATTCCTAGTTGTAATTATTTGTTAAGTAGCATATGTATCAGTTCGCCAACTTATCAACATAAGTATGAAAAAAACCTTTTCCATAGGTTTCTATTGAAAGATTACATTAGAATTTCCGTCTTTAGAAGTAATCGATGGTATTAAGGAAAAGATTTCCATTGGTATATTACTTTTCTTTCCAATGGTTAACATTCTAGCAATAGAAATGTCGCAATTGGTTATACAGTTAAGGGATACGTGCTTTCCTTAAGAAATCATGTCAACATAACTCCTTCAGAACTAAAATGTGGAACTCGCATGTGTTCTTTAGTTTCATGATACTAATAAAGAATAGCTAACGTGAAAAATCTATAGCAGACTGTAGTTGTTTTCCTAGTATATTCAATAGTGAGAGAAACGATTAGTCTTATTTATTTCTGCGTTTTGAATAGAAATTTTTTTAGATTTTAACGGACTCTCTATTCTTTACTTGTCTTATTGATATTTACTAGTGATTTTCCTTTTTTTCTTAATTTAACATTATTATTATTCTAATCATTGGACAAATAAGTCTGTTGGAAATATCTATTATATATATATAGTAAGTCTCAAAACAATACTACATATGTCGATGAGGTCACAAACACTGATATTGATTACTTTCCAAAGTTGCAACTTGATCGATACACCCTTTTTATGTTGATCATATGACGACTGTGGCAAACGTATACACGACTATCCATCATCCTTGACATTTCGAATATATATTTTCATCTGCATAAAAATCAGAAACTACACTATTTAGAACATTTATAAACGAAATCTAGCTATTTAAATTTTTAACAAACATTTTGAAATGTTTTAGAATAGTCGAAATTTTGTCGTTAATGCCATTCAATGCCTTTTCTTTCTTGCTAAGACACTTTGGAAGGGGAGTCTTACGCTTGTTGTCATCGATTATTAATTTCTGTAATGGAAGTAGAAGCTGCAAATCTTTGATTTAAACTTTCGCTGACTATTTTCTTCGAAAATATATGTGAGTTTCACCAAACTCAAGTTTTGTCAGAAGTATCAAAACTCAGAAAAAAAGGACAAGACGATAGTTCTAGGTTTGATCATTCATAAATGATATAAGTTTTTGCGATTTCTTGATAATATCTGTCATCACCTACTTGAAAGAACAGTAAATATTTTTCTCTATCTATGCTTTTATTGATCGTGCAATCCACAATATTCTGCGGGCTTTCATTCTATATACTTAATTTTTTAGTTGAAAGAATATGGTAAGATGCAGAGCATAACAAAGCCGCTTTTTTTGAATTAAGTTTCGTTACTATTTTTTCAAAAAAATACTTTTATTATTAGAGGGCCTTTTTCTGATACACTGAACTTTTGACCTTCTAAGATAAGAATTTTTCGAAAACAGTATTGTATTCTGATATGGCTTTTCAAATAAAACAGATAAACCTATATAATGAAAATCCCGCGTGGTCAAATAAGCTTTTTTTTGTGACTCTTATTTACTGAATATTACTTCAAAACATCATGATTTAGGACTGACAACTTCATGTAATTTGAATGTATCTGATCGAAGATTGATTTTTGAGAGAAAGGAGTTAAATTTTTCACTTTATTCCCGTAATATTAAATATTAATAGACCGAGTACGAAAGTTAAAACAAATATTTGCTGAAAATCTAAACACTAACACTAAAACTAATATCGAAATTGACTCCTAGATTAAAAAAGTTTATTAAAAACAAAAAACTAACTTAATATTTCTATTAAAGCATATATATGAAAAACCTATTCATATACTCGTCATTAATTCGACCAGTTCTACAACAGTTAGAATTACATTGAAAATAGAGAAATACTTCAGAAATACCCTTTTTGATTCATATTTAAAACGATCTACATAAAATAGACTTCTTCTATATCAACGAACGAAATGTTTAATTTGCAAAATATTTACCTGATCAGTATTTTCTTGTTGTTCGTTATCATTATGAGATGCTGCTTGAGGTTGTTGATAACTTTGAACCTAAAAATAACTCTTAAAATGATAAATAAACCATTTATAAAAAGAAAAAAAGAAAACCTCTTGTTCATGATGTGTTGTTTGAACTTCTTGTTGTGCAAGACGTTCATTTAATTGTTTATTTAAATATTCTTGAGATTGAATTTGATTTGTTAAATTCATATTATCATTTGACTAGAAAGAAGCAAAAAAACAAACAAGCTGTTTTAATTATATTCTTTTTTTTTTTTTTTTATTAATTTCAATACTATTTTAATAAAACCATCTTGAAGTTCACTTAATTGTTCTTTCAATTGTTTATTTTGTGCTATAGCACGTGATAATGTTGTTTTATCATCGTGTATTGTTTGTAATAATTTTTCATGATCCATTTGATTTTCTCCTAATAGATGTTTTTTTTTTGCAATAATAATTCAATTAAAGCTTAAATTAAAGAAAAAAAAATTTGTAACTTACGAACTTTTCCATTATTTTCTTCTAATTGATCAATACGTGTATCTTTTTCATTTAATTTTCTAGAAAAAATTCAAATTTAAATCAATTAAGTATGAAAAAAAAAGAAAATTGAATACTTTGTTAATTGTTCATTTTCTAAACGTATTTCTTCAAATCGTTTTGACCATTCATCAATAGCAGTTTTAAATAATTGATTTTCTTGAAGAAGAGAATCACGTTCTAAAACTAAATCACTATTGATATTGTGATGATTAACTGAATGATCATTAGATATTGCCGTTAATTTCATTTCTAAATAAATACATTTGATTAGATTGAAATTTTCAAATAAAAACAAATATTCCTAACCATAAGCTTGTTTTATCGCTTCTTGTTCACTTTCTAATAGATTATTTGTTTGAATTAATTCATTAATCTAAAGTTAAGAGACAATTTTTGAATATGTTAAAAAACAAAAATAAAAGAATCTGACTTTCTCATTAAGTTCTTGTATATGGCGTTGTACATTAGTATTGTATTGTTGATATTGTGAATGCATTTGATCATAATCCGAACGCATTTGATTCATGGAGGAGAGAAGCTTTAAATAGATAAAAAAAGTTTTGATGCATATTTTTTTTTGTATTATGTACAAACGAAATATTTGAAAGTTTGAACATGTTGAAACTAATAAAAACTATCAACATGATTCTCTTTTTCTTGGTAAATAGTTTTACTATAAATAACTTTTGATTACATGAGCTTTTATTACTGTGACCGTAACTAAAGTTTGATCATGACAAAAACAACATTTTGAATAGTTATATGATGATTGTTATTAATTGTTTACAACTCATATTATTGATAATAAGTATAAAACTTTAGCTTTGAGCTTTTTTCTATTGTCATTTCATTCTTTCCCTATCTCATAGACATTAGTCGTTAGCGCTACTTCTTTTATTATTCATATTCAATGTCAACTCTTAGTCTTCTTATGTAATACTACTGTAATTAAATTAGATCTACTAATACTTGTTGAATGGGACCAACAATAATAAAAGACATTTTGAAAAAAAAAACTTTACAAATTACACGTAATCTACAGTCTAGAATAATAAATTTAGTTTATACATTTAGATTTTTTTATATGTTAATTTTCCATGAGCACGAGTCGATTTTTTTTTTGTCTTTATTGAATTAAAATATTTCGTTATTTTATTATGGTATTATTCTATTTCATTGACAAGTGAAGGCTCAATTAATTAAGCACATAAAAAAATGTATTCCTTTTTTGCAAAGTAAGAGAAGATCAAAACCTACACTTTTTCTTTTCTAATATTATTATTTAAAATAAGCAAAAATATTCATATATATCTATGTTAAATTTTAATAAGCAAATTGTGACTCGTGATATTTTGTATTATTTGTGTCTTAAGTTATGAACAAAAATGGAAAGAAATATTAAGCAACTAAACCTTTTATTTTCATGTAGCTCATCCAATAAAGAAAAAATGTGAATGACGAAATTCAATATGCTTTTATATGTCATCAATATTGATAGTTATTTTATGACAAATCGCACTATTGTAATTAATAAAACTACGTGACTTGCAATAATGGTCATGTTGATCTCTCCCAATAACACAATTTTTAAAAAAGAAGAATATATATATAAAACCTGAATAAGATGAATTCTTACAAATAAAAAGAAAAAGAATGAATCAAATGATAGGATATTATTCATACTCAACATATTGATAATGTATGCGCATTTATAGTTTCAATAAACATATGTGAATATTATTTGTTTGTTCTGTATAGAAAACAATATATTTTATTAGTACAAGTCTTTTTTTTTTGTTCTTGTTTGCACATTCAATCATAATCATTTTAGGTCATTCTCTATTCATCATTCAACTTAATATGACATCGAGCATACCTTCTTTTTACTATCTTGAAACAAATAGTTATTGTATGTTGTTTCTTTCTTTTTGATTGAAAATAGTATGAAGAAAAATTTATTCTATTCGAATCTCAAAAGAATCCAGCTAAATCAACAAAAATAGTTTGTAATTCGATCTTAACAATAGATTTAACCTACAATAGCCTAAATTATACACTTTTAAAAGCTTGATATGAATAATTTTTTTTCTCAAAGTAATTATTTCGAATGTCATTTTCTTGATTCAATAATGAATAAAAAACATATATATTTAAAATGATTATTGTCTCTCTTACTGCTTCGGATTCATTTGTTTTTAATGCAACTGTACGTTGTAATTCTTCAATTTGTTGTTCATATTTATTTGCTATGGATGGATCATTAATCGACTAATTTAAACAAAAAAAAACGAAAATGAATTTATTTAAACAATAAATAAAATATATTTCTACAAACTTGATAGTGTTCTAAACGAATTTCTGATTGTTCTAATTTTTGTTTTAATTTAGTAATATCATTATTTAATTGATCAATTATTATTTGTCGATTATTATATTTTCCATCAAATTCATTTAAATTTTGTTTTAAATCTTCGATTATTTGACTAATAAAATAAAAATTCTTTTATGTTTAAACACAAAAACATATTTAAATATTTAACCTTTGATGAATATTTTCTGTTTTAAGTCGATCAATTTCTTTATCGAATTCTTTAATTGCCTAAAGACAAAAAAAATATAAAAATAAAATAAATATCTAAAATTTAATTAAAACCATTTCTCGTTTTTGTGTATTAAATGTTGAATTTTGTGTTTGTTTTTCAAGTTCTTCAACACGTTCACGTGATGCTTTTAAACGTCCTTGAATTTCATCCATTTCATTTTGTTTTCGTTCAAGTTGTTTGATTGATTGACTTAATTTAGCTGATAAATCAGTTTTTTCTGCTACTAAAATACCAATTGTTTGAACATGAATCTAATGATGAAAAAAAAAACAAAATTAATTTCAAATATTAATAAATCTTACTTCAAGTTGTTCTTGTAAATGATCAAGATCACGACGATATTTATGTTCAATTTGTCGTGCAATATCAACGTCAGGTTGAGTTTGACTTGAACGACCGGACTAAATTTTAAAAAAATTCATAAAATAATTTCTTTTTTCAAAAACACAAAAACTGATTACCACACTACTCCCAACACCAAACTGTCGTTGATCTTCGAGACGAGATCGTTGTTGTTTTTGATTTTCAATTAATAGAGCATATTGACGATTTTGTTCCTCAAAATATGTATATTAGTAATTTCATGCAGATAATATATAAAACACATGCTTTCTAAATATTTCTATTAACTTACTTCTAATCCAAGAACAGGAGATTTTGTTAAATTTACATGTATTCCATTAATTATAGCTTGTTGTTCATTAACAAAAGTGGCTACATCATGTGGAATTGTACGCGATCTAATAAAACAAATGATTTAAATTTATAAAAGATATTTAAAAAAATAAAAACAACAGAATAATAAACTTACGTATTATTATAATTGTTAATAGATTCATTAGATGTCTAGAAAAAATTAAAATAAAAAATAAAGTTCCTATTTGAAAAGAAATATTACTCCATCAATAGAATGTACATCGGTACCATTGGTCTCTGTAGTGAAGGTCAAATGATCGTTACCATTTTGTTGTTGTTGTTGTTGATCACGAAATTTTTTTAGCTAATATATTTACATGATTAATATAAGAGAATAATTAAATAAATAAATAAATATACTTTTCGACGAGCATTCGCCAAATTTTCTTGTTTTTCATTATCGACCATAATTTTCGTCGTTAAATATACGAGGGATAATGATCATTCACTAAGGTAACATGAATAAACAAAATGGATTTAGTGAATCAATCACTTTCAAATGAGAACTCAAGCTATCCGATTTTATAAAAGGGTAGGGATGGAAGCTGACGCGTACAGAGTATGTCTTTCAATCAAATCGATTGATAATTTTGGTACTTGTTGGACTATACTAAAATGCGTGCTTGAAACATCAGCATCTTCATGACAATAGATGTCTCTATTCATCAAAGATATGATTAAACCTTTTTTTTTTAAAGGTATAATATTATAAAGTAGAATTTATGGATCATTTCTAACTGAAGTCAAATTATGATTGCATACATTAAAAAGAGAAGATGCAATTTTTAGCGATCTATCAGACACAATGATATATTCCGGTAAAAAAATGTTTAACGATCTTACTGTGATAATGTGACGTATGTATAAAAAAATAACAAAACGATCGTATATAAATCCAAAAACAAATTTTCTGTATTTGTCAACTTTAGTTGTTCTGCACAAAAAATATGAATTTTTATTTGAAGGACGAGTTTTTTTGTATATTTTTAAGTGATTTATGAAATTGAAAATGAAAACAAAATTTTTTCAGAATCATTTATTAAAATAATTTGATCGATAAACATGTTATAGCATTGTTCAGTATCTAATAATCTATAGACGTCATAACATGTTATTGAAAGAAGCTAATATGACAATTATGTGATGTGTTTTATTGTTTTTTTCTTTCAAAGCAATTTTTGATTATTTGAACTAAGAGTTCAACATTTTTACACGTACTCATTTTTACTTTCCTTTTAGAAGAGATAGTCCTCTGATATATAATTTGAACGAAGTCAACCTGATTTTTCGAGGCATATTTTCAACATTATATTAATGCTGAAATTTTACCATACGAATGAAAATTGATATGATTAATCATGTTGAAGACTATTATATAGATCTTTCAGTCAGACAGATCACATTCGAATATCAACTAGAAAAGATGAACATCTTGAAATCGGTGTCACACAAAGCAATAATCATTTTTAGATTAAAACTGTATAATAGAAGCAAAAGTATTAGTATGACGATTTTTTTCAAAAGTATATCTCGTTAGTTTGATAATTATTTAGGAGCGTTATACAATTGGTTGACCAAGGATCATATAAATCATACAACGAACATTTCAAATTATTATTTTATTGAAGGTTTTACTTTTATTTTTCTTTGTTGAATTTAATCGAATAACAAATTATTACACATTACGATAAGTTTTCGCATTGTCCATCATGCACAAGTGAATTTTGCGAATATGTCACCAGCACACTAATAACATTCTTGTTATATCTATGCAAATATTGACGTAGGCACAAAATAATGAAAGAAAAATATTCGATTTGACCATGATAAGTACAAAAACTAAGTTGTCAAATAATCAAAACACCATCGACATGTACTGGGATCCAGGATACCTCTGTGTGCCTTCACACTCTTGAATTTTTTTGCGCGCTGGTTTATGTATTCAATATTTTGATAAAAAATAATGCTGTATTATCATGCCAAGTGAAATGTCTTCTAAATTATAGACATCTAGATCAATATTACTATATTGTGTATAGTCAATTCGAGAACAAAACGATCTCATCAATAAATAGTTGATAGTATTCAGTTTCTTCGATTACTATCAGAAAACTACAAATGAATTGAGCAAAGATTCTACCTAATTTATCTGATTACCATTTTTTAATCATGTTCTCTTACATCTTCTACTTAATCCAAAAGCAAAACCAAACATGATTGATGAATTGGAATGTGATTATCGATCAGACGCAACTTTTTTGTTGACATTTACAGCAATCATTTGGAAAGAGATAAGTGAATAATATATTGAAAAATGAAGACATTGATCAATTACATTTATTTCATTTTATTTTTTACTAGTAATTTATAAGAAAATCTTAGGCCAAATACTGTTAGTTTATCGAGAAGTGTGAAAATAGATAAATAAGAATTTGGTAAATCACAAGAAACTGCAGACAAACTATTGTTTACTAATCGATATTTATCAACAAAGCGAAGTTGCTCACAAACACATTCATTTGAAATGTAATCTATCGGATAAACTTATAGAATATTGATTTTTTTAAAAATCAAATGTAATATAAACAAATTTTAGTACGTATGTTGTTTTTGATAATATTTCTACATTGAGTGAATATTTAAATAAAGAAATTTTATTTCATTAGAGTGTTGTCTTTTGAATTAAATGTAATGAGATGAATCAGTATATTCTATTAAAATGATTATATCAAATGATGGAAAACTATCATAGAAAATTATTTTTGAAGAAAGACATAAATAAACAGATGTCGAAAGTTTGGTCTTTATCTTCGGAAGATTAATGTATCATATGAACAAAGATGATAAATTTCAAAAATATTTTCAACAATTCTTATATGATTTGAACAATAAAGTTTTCGCTCAACTTGAATATGAGATAGATCGAGATCTGCAATTCAAAATTGAACGATGATAATAACGGGAATATTTTAACTATGCATACGATCGAATGATGAATGTGAGACCACCACTTCTGAAACATTTCGATTTTCTGCCGAATAATATAAGCATTAGTCGATATTAGAAAAAAATTACAAATGTGATCTTCGATTATCATAAACGAATACTGAAAATACATGTAGATTATTATTGATTTGATCATATTGATACTATTGCTAGCTGTAACAATATTATTCGTATTCTGCATTATCGAGAAATGTACATATAATTAAGCTTTAGACTATCATGAAGAGATGTTCAAAATATTGGTTAAGTGTCAGGAAATCCATCATACTGATGTTACTACTAATTTCAATCTCAACAATATGGATAACATTCTTATTGACGAAAGAATATACTTTGAAGTCCTCGGCTATTATTAAATGATGCTTAATATGTAAGAAAAATATGATCCTTGTGGGCATATCAACATAGATGATTTTTTGAAGAATATTCGAGTGACTTACGAGAAAACATACAAGTCAAACATAACTTTCGAATTTTATCCAGGTTCATTAGCTAATTACAAGAGACTTTTACCTTATCAACATTGAGATCGACAGAATGTTAAACGAAATATTTGTGGTACCATAGTACTGCAATAAATTTATGATTATCATATGTCAGAGCACAATCACTACAAGGCCAAAGGAAAATTCTCTTACTGCGTAAACATATTTTTGATTAGAACTTATTACTGTATACGGAAACAAGTAATGACGAAGTGTAATTCGATAAAATATTAAGAAAGAGAGAAAAGTCAAAAGTTTTTAGAATGATTACTTTTAAATGGATCTTATTATTATACGATTAGTATTCATATTAATAGACGACTATCTTAAAAATCTTCTAGACTAGGTTTTTGTTGAAATTAAACATACTCTTTCAATGTCTTTCTGATGTTTGCAAAAATCTTTCCGATTGATCGAATTCAAAATATTTGATGCTATCAAAATTATTAATCTTTCTAGAATTTGATTTTCGAAAAAACTTTCTTTCATACATCAATAGTTCTCAATTGATTAGTATCATTAATAATCATTATATGTGAGTATATCAAAATAAAATGCTATTTTTCAATGTCAAATATTTTCTATGCTACTGCTTTTTGATGATGATAAGCTAGACTAATTGAAAACCTACTCCTAGTAGAATTTTCTTTGCATATGCTGGACATACACAAGCCGCAAGATATGTTCATGCCACATAATTTTTTTTTCTGTAGACAAGCATTTGAATGCTTGTATGAGTTATATACATATTTAAAGAAGCTCATACGCTGAATTCATAAAATTTATAAGAATAAAAACACTTGAAATAATCAACTGGATTAAAAAATAAAAGTTATTCTGCTTAAAAGATGAAAGAATGCTTCTTGCCATGAAGAATATCTGAATTTTTTAACTCATATTGATTCCCTCTTTGATTTGTCTGTTACAAACTTAACTATTTAAATTATAAATTTTTACTGAGTCAAATCATTTTCAATGTAAAACTGAAGAAAAAAAAAGGAAAAACACATAGAATGTAAATAAAATTAGTTTCACGTATTACAGATCGTCTTCACAAGTGTGAATAATGATTTAATCCAATGGAGTATTGATATTCCTAACTTCTCATAGAGACATGTTTTTATTGTTAATCTCTATACTCTTACAGACATTTGAATAAGAAGTTCAAGCACCTGAGCTTGCCAAAAATGTCTTAAGTCTTGTTTAAGATATTCAAAAAGGTCATGATCATGGAAAAAGAAAAACTTTAACTAGGAAATATTCATTACAATTTTATACAGTGACGTAACCTGAGCAACGTCCTACGACCAGAAGAGAGAAAAACATCATAATTACCACTATTGACACTAAAGACATGGATTATATCCAAGATTAAAGGGCACTATCTTACCACCCACACTCTCCTGATTGCGTCACTAGTTTTACATATTAATATAACAAGATATGATTCAATCGTAAAAGATAGTGTTATTATTTTGTAGAAAATGCAGGGTTTACAGATGATAAAAGACTAAACCAAATACGTAAGAAGTTTTATCGGAGATTCTTTACATTTTTTTTTCTAATGTATATTGAATACATGTTTGCTTTATGACAATTATAGCAGAAACGCAATTGCTATAGCGAAAGCATCTCCCTAAGATGGCGCCTTTATACGATAAATTTATCTAGTAAAATTTTTGTAATATATCAACATATTAGTAGTCGTATATTACTAATTTTTGAATACTTTTCTTTCATAATTTTCATAAATTTCTATCATTACTTTTTTTATAGAGACCAAAGTATCTTGTCAATGTTTTCTCGTTTTGTTGTTGACGATTGATCGGTTATTCTTCTTCTTCATCTCGGATTTTCTTTATTTGTTTATTTGTCGTTCTGTCAGCGGTCAAAACGTGCATCCTTACCTTATTGTTATTTTTTTTTTTTAGAAAAATTGTTTTCTCTCAAGAAAAAAACAAAAAATGTCATCAAATAGTGCATCTCCTGTTGCCACTGAATCAAATGGTCCATCATCTTCGTCAGGTATTTCATCAACTTCAACAACAGCATGTGATGATCGAACATGTTCAACAGCTAAATGTGCATTATGTCTTCATTGTTCTCAACAATATTGTTTTGTTCATTTTCTTAAACATAATGAACAATTATCATTAAATGCTTATAATTTTACATTAGCTATTGATCAACTTGGTAAAAATTAAATTTATATTTTGATTATTATAAATTTTATTTTATATATATATATTGAGTAGAAGATCAAATAAAAAATTTAAAATTAGATGAATCACTTCGTCGAACAATACATTCTCTTGATCAATGGCGTAAAAATTTAATACGAACAATTGAATATGTTTATCAAGAAAAACTTTCATCAATTAAATCAAATTATATACAATTAAGTAATTATTTACAACAATTTCAATTTGAACAATCATCACATATACAATCATTAAGAATTGATCTTGAACAAATGAAATTTATTCGTAGTACTTATGGTTTGTTCTTTTTTGTTTTTGTACATCAAGACATTTTTTTTTTGTTTTTTTGTAATTCTTGTCTTTGTTTGTTTTTTTTTTAAGATCAAGAAATGAAAAAAATTCAAACAACAATAAAACAATTACAAAAAAATTTTTCTGAACTTCAATATGATTTAAATTTAAAAGAACGTCAAACACCTAATATATATGATTCAATTGAATGTGAAATAATATGGAAACGACATCGAATAGATGATATACAAACATCAACAATAATTGATGGAAGTGAAGATGATGAAGATACTAATACTGGTACAAATCATGATGATGATGATGTACCTGATTATTCAACAACTGGTACACCACCATCATCAACACCAAGTCCAACATCATATGAACATTGTTTACTTTCATTTCTTGTTGGAAATGATTCAATAACGAATAGAGATGAAAAAATAATATTATCAGATATGAAAAAAAATTTATCAAATAAAAAAAATTTATTAATGGAAAAAAAACAAACAAATACTAATACAACATCAACAGTAACAACATTATTAAATAATAATAATAAAAAGAGAAGAATTTGTATGAGTTGTGGAAAATGCTAGTAAGTTATTAAACATTTAATTCTCGAATTTTACATAAATCATAAGAGTTTCATTACAAATTCGAGAGAAGCAATCTTAATATTTATTCGTAGTTTTGCTAGCATTAAACACAGTTTGTTTAATCTTACAAACGAAGTCTCCTAGTTGGTAAGGCGAAACTATGCGCATTTTATGGATCCAAATGAGATGTAGATATTTTGGCAAGAGTTTGTGTCTTTAGTGTACTGGTACGGAGATACTACACATTTACAGTCATTTTTAAATCATTGTCATGGTAACAGAAAAACTAATTTTCGAATTTCTACTTGAAATTTTGCATACTGACAGAACTAAACGAGAATAGTTTTCAGAACTTGTTGTTCTTTCTATTCCAAGATACAACTGTTATAAAATCATATCTTTTACATCGTTCATACACTGGTAGATTCCATATTCTTATTTCATGATAGAAGCAAATTGAACAACTCGAAATGTCAGCAAGGTCTGTCTCTATATAAAATTTCATGTCGAAATTTGAAAAATAGTTTTTCTATTATTTCTAAGTGAACCGTGGTATTTATCAAAAATGTAGTATCTCCACAATAATAAGTTAAGGGCACAAAATATCTAAAGCTCGTTTGAATCTACATAATGCACATAATCTCGATTCAAAATCAATTTATCGATTTTCAAATACAGTTTGCAATAAGAAGCATTTTTTGTACATTGATTAATAAAGATTATTTTCAATTACAAAAAAGTTTATACTAATGAACTTAGTTTTGATTACATTCAACAAATACACTTCGATTTATCATCAAATGACACTTTTACGGAGAGACATCATTTTTTCGAAGAGTTGGACAATAATTCATATATAATAAAAACTATAACTTACGCTTTATCTATGATTAAATTTTGAAGATTTCTTCATTAAAAAAAGTACTTTGAGAGAAAAACTAAAGATATATTTAGAATCAGCGTAAAAAACTCTATCGAATGACATGATCAATTTTAAAATAAAAACATTTTTCACAGTAAGAATCTTCTTCACAGACTTTTCATCAACTTTATTGTTGAGTACAAATAACTAACATTTCTACAAAAAAAACAAAGAAATTCGTATTTGATAGAAAATAATTTATATCCATGTGCTCAATCGAAATTGCGCACTATGTTTTGGTTAAGTAAATATGTTACAGTTCGGCCTTTCCATATGATAATTCGATTTCTTTTGAATCTATTATTATTCATATTAATATGATAGTCGAAAAAAAAAAAAACTTTTTTTCTTTCAGTCATCCAAGCAGTTTACAACGTCATTATCGTCAATGCAAACGTCAATCTGCTTTCCGACAATTAAATCTATCAAATTCCAATTCAAAATTAGCAGATGAAACAACATTAAAAACAGTTACTAATATGATCAATCAACAACAACATTTAGTGGATTGATAGTATCAATAAATTATCAGATTTAGTCAAAAAAAAATCTTCTATTCTTTTATCTAAATTTCTTCCTTCGATGATATTTTATTAAAAAAAAAAAAAAAAAAAATGAAGAAACAAAAATAAAAATTTCTCATATATGCTGTTCTCGACATGTTTATCTGTATATAGTTTTTTTTGTTGTTAGTATAGCATTGAACAAAAAAAACAAAAAAAAACGCCATATTGTTGTTGTTGATTTTTATAAAAACTGTTGTGTGTATATGTTGTTTTCTTTTTAAGTTGATCCCAACTGTTTGTTTGTTCTTTTTTCTTCCTTTCAGAACAGAAATATTGTATGTTGATGAACATTGAATCTTCATTTTTTTTTTGTTTTGTTTTCGTTTTTTATTTTAGAATTAATTTAGATTAAAAGAATGGACGAATTATCCGAGTGAAATATCAAAAATTAAAATTATGGCTTCGTGCATGTATCGTGTTGGTGGTAAGAATCATATTAGAAATAATGTTATATATATATTCGAATTTGTTTTCTATTTAGATTATGTCTATTTTGAAGGCACTCCAAGTGAACCTTATTTAATTCGACGAATTGAAGAATTAAATAAGGTTTGTTTATTATAATAACATGTTCGAAAACGGATGTCATCTATTTCGTAATTAAATTATAACAACATATTTTTATTGTCACATTATGATCTTCGTTCAAAATAAAATAATATTATTCCCTTACTAGAAGAATATAAGAAAAAAAATGTCCCTTGTTAATTGTTTTCCGACTTCGTTCTTCTCTTAATATATTCACTGTCAATGTCATTTTCTATTCTAAAGTCTTCATCGGAAAAAAAAAACGTTGATAGATGATTGTCCGTTTTTTTTTTTAACTATAGAGACATCATTCTTATATTCTAAGCTTCTATTGAATAAGAAATTGAAGTGAGAATTATATATTGAAACAAAAAAAAAAACATTGGGGAATTATGAATCGATGTGAATTTCATCCACAGTAAGCATCGTGACTAAAATCTAATAATGAAAATATTTTACGTTGTTAATTAATAATGATTTTTATGTTTTTCTTCTTGTCTATTAATTTTTTGCATCTGTAAAGATGATGATAACAAAAGAGACATTAGTCTTTAGTAGAAAAGAAAAGTTATCTGATCCCTTTAGGTTATCAATTGTGTTTACTACGTAATAGATTAAGATCAAAGGTTTAGTTCTTTTCCATTATGCTTTCATTAGCAAATGTTGTGTTGATATCAATAAGTCTATCATAGAATGTATTGTTTGATTGATATGCAAATGAAAAAGATATTGATATCATTCGGTTTTATTAAGACACCTAATGGTAATGTTGAAGCTCGTGTGGCTTGTTTTTATCGTCGTCGTGACATATCAGCTTATTTAGTTAATCAAGTTGATCGACTTAAAATCGATGGTAAATTTTTTAACAACATATAAAAAAAGGAAAAATAAACTTATCTTTTAAGGTCCATGGGATGATGATGATGAAATATCAACAGATACAAATGGAAGTACTACTAATCCATCAGGATCAACTGGTAGTAGTTCATCATCTCAACCAACTGAATTAAATGATACTCAAAAACATCAATTACGTCATCGGGAATTATTTTTAACACGTCAGATTGAAACATTATTAGCCACAAATATTCGTGGAAAATGTTTAGTTACACTTCATAATGAAACCGAATCATTTTTATCGTATCTTAATACTGAGGTTAGTATATAAATTCATTTAATTGAATTATAACAAAAAAAAAAAAATAAGATAAATAAACAAATATTATTTGTATTTATTATAGGATCTCTTTTTTTATCAACTTGTTTATGATCCAAATCAAAAAACATTAAATGCTGATCGTGGTGAAATTCGTGTCGGTGGAAAATATCAAGCTGATGTACCAACACAACCTTTATATACTGATGGAGTTGAAGAAGGTATACGAAAACAAAATTTTAAATTTATAAATATGAATATTCTTTTCTTTTTAATTAAGCCAATGTCCCATCAAGAGAAGAATTAATTTGGGATGCAAATGGTGGTTTAACAGAGAAACAAATTGAACAATTTTTAATTGTCGCTCGGTATTTATTAGTTTTATGTATTTGTCAAACACAATCTGAAAGAAATATTGAAGTATAGAAGTATAAATTTGAAGCTCATACAAATTGTGACAGACGCTGTACAGAGACTATGACAGACGTTAGACAGACATTATCATACATGCTTTAGTAACTTCCCTCCACAACACAAACTATGACATATCTTAGCCAGAGATCATCACAAACACCTCAACATTGCCCTCTTCCTATGACACACATTGTCTATCAATAAAGTTTCGTTATAATATATGAAATACTTCCTTATTACATTTTTGAAGGATTAAATAAAAATTTGTTGTAAAATGATCTTTCTGTGAACAGCTACATTCAGTTTAACATTTCAATGCCGAAAAGATTGTGTTGATATCTCTTGTTTATAAACTTGAAATATTTTATTTGAAAATATGAAATAGATCAATTGGTACATTTGCACGTGCACTTGATTGTCCGACAGCATTAAAACATCCAAGTCTTCATATGAGTGCAGCATCAGCTTCACGTGATGCTACTTTGGTAAATAAAACAACAATGATTTTTATTTTATTTCATTTTGTTTATTTATAGTTTTTTGCTATGGATACATTGCATAAACATCATTATGATTTAGCATTAGCTACATGTAGTTTAGTGCCGAATACAGGACCAATACTTGTTAAAGATCAAATGGAAGATTGGTCAGCTGCTGAAGCGAACTCATTCGAAGATGCTATTGAAAAATGTGGAAAAGATTTTATTGAAATACAAAAGGAATATGTAAAACAAAAAAAAAATTTTTTTTTTTCTTTTTGTCATTTGAATAAAATAACATTTATTTAAATTTTGTTAGTTACCATGGAAAAGTTTAAAAGGTATTATTGAATATTATTATATGTGGAAAACAACAGATCGTTATGTTGTACAACGACGTTTAAAATTAGCTGAACAAGAAAATAAACTTAAACAAGTTTTTATACCAAATTAGTTCGTATTAAAATAATTTTATTTGTAATTATTCAATTGATGTATTGTTTTTTTTTGTTTCTTTTTAGTAATAAAGCTCATCAATGTTTACTTCCGCAACGACCACAAAGTGAAAATAAGCCATGTGAATCATGTGGAAGTACGTTGAATTAAAAATTTGTATATTTAAAATATAATAAGAAATAATTTATTTTTAAGCTACTTCATCATCTCAATGGTATCAATGGAATTCAGCTCAACCACATACAAGACTTTGTGCAGAATGTTGGATTTATTATAAAAAATTAGGTGGCTTAAAATATCCGAAAAAGAGTGGTAAGATTTTTTAATAGATTTTTTTAACATATTTCTTATGATATGATTATCTAATTCTAGGTCCTGATCGACGACAAGGTAAGTTTGATATGAACACAAAAGAGTATATATTGGAGTTTTAAATTATAATATTAATTCTAGAACGAGCAGCGAATATCAATAAATTAGTCAGTTATAAATGTAATGTTGCTGGTTGCGGAAAGGTATGTTATTCATAGTTTGTTTTCTTATTTAAAGAGATATCTATGTATCATTTCCTGTATCTCATAAGCGACAGAGCAAAGGCAATTTTAGGGGGGTTCGAAAAAGTTTTCAAATGTTGGCGAGATAGAAAAAAAAAAGAGAATACTGATTTACTTTTACAATCCGTTAGATTTTTCGAGAAATTACTTTGCACACCTTATTAAATTCTAGATCCGCTATTGAGTTGGAAATATTATTAGCACACATCTAAAAAATAGAACTTTTGCACTAGAATTTGAATCGAATAAACTAAACTATTTATCAAATTTCGATTTTCTTTCGATAAAAATACAATTACCTCAGCCCTGTAAGAGCGAAGAGCTGCTCTACAAATTTCTTATCTGTGTTACAACAAGCAGGATGTAATTCAGTGGTATAACCACGAGAGAAGCAAATGTGCAATTGCTTATTGAAATTTCGATGTTTCTCAGAATTGTTTATATATTTTGAAGTTAGATGGTAACTGTACTTTTTTTTCTATCGTGTGAATCACACATGGACTCTTTGCTTAGTCTTTCTTAAAAGGATTATTAAAAGAATCATTTCTGGTATTTTAACTGTAAGTTTGGGTGAACATGAGTTCGGTTTTATTGAAAAAACACTGCGTAAGTGTAGAGAAGGATAGATCAAAGAGGAGGAAAACAAAAATACAGAGCAAGAGAGAACATAGACGAGCGTATAGATGTATATGAGTGAATCGTATTTTTGTTGTGTAATTGGCAAAGAAAAATGAAGATCCCATTGAGCAGAAATTTAACATGTGCATTTTGTTCATCATCGTTTACTTCATATAAGGTAATGATATTCTAACTCTCATGTGTCAGGAGGCTGAGATATCTCTGAATCCATATATGCTGAGATAGTTCCAGTATTTCCAATGATAAAAGTTTTTCGTTTTATTTCTATTATAATTCTTCTTTCTGCTCAACCTGAGTATTCCTATCACTTGGAATAGAGAGATCATCAATTAGGAAACAATGAGCATCGGTTATATGTATTCCATCAATAATATAATACCATAGTTGATGATACTGGATCTAAGTGCTTATTCTATTCGAGCTAGGTCGAAAACTCCCAAAAAGTATTTTTCTACATTTCGTCGTATAATGTGAAAATTTTTAGGAAGGATGTTTGAACCATTCTGAACTCTTTATCGTATGTATAATTTTTTATACTCTCTTTTATGTGTAAATTTTATCGAGATTGATTCAATCTATCCGGAGATGAATCTAAAATAATTTTCAAAACGTTTTACTACAAAGTGAATAAAAAAAGCGATTTTTGAAAGAGCTGGCTGATATTTCTCGAAAAAAAAAATAATGAGAAAACTAAAACTTTTTTTTAATCATTTGGTTAATTGAACAAAGCTCTTTCTTTTGAAGGAATTCTGAATGTCTAGCTATGTTTCTTTGACTTCAAGAAAACGCTTTGTTTTTCTCTATATACAAGAGACAACATATTTGTAAAAGTATTTTGGTCATGAAGGAGCAAGAAAGAGATAATAATGCTATTAATGATTAATGTATTTGAATAGTTCGTTGGATGTTGAATAAAACAAGTTTATTACTTTTTCAGCTTCTTTATTTTCTTCCGTAGAAAATCCAATTTAATATACTTTGACTTTTTGAAAAAAATGTATATTTTTAACATTTGACGTCTATATCTCTATGAGTTGATCAGCTAACGGACCAAAATTTTCTGCGGTAGTCTAATAGATATCAAGAAACAAAAGAAAAGCACACGCTTGGGAAGCAGACCTTAGAAAACGGATTTATACGAGAAATACTTCAAAAATATCATTCTACAAAAACGTTACGATTCACTCTTATACATAGAGTGACGCATATGTGAAAGCATAAAGAAAAAAAAAACAAGATGTGACATGACCTAGTTCCTAGGGAAAATACGTATGTGTGATGCACAGGTACGTATTGAAAGAATCCTCGACATTAACTTCTATATGTTTTTTACGTTATTCGTACTTTTTTAGGTCAAAAAAAGTTTTGACCTATCCATAAAAACCTTGCCCGTTTTACCGATCGGTTTTTTTCGACACGAGAAGTTTGTCCATCGGTCTAGCAAATCCTGGTTACGCCACTAGTACTAACTGATGTACGAAAAGATTTTAAATAAGATTTAACCTACCTAACGTTTTGTAAGACATTAATCAAAGTAATGAATTACTGAATTTTGTCCGTAGATACACTTTTTGTGCTGTTACTCAACAGAAATCTCGGCTTGCCTCAGAATTTTTCATAGTGACTATCACCGTACGCGTTTAAATTTTCAGTTTCTTCATGACAAAATAAAACTATTTTTTCATTCTTTCGTTATACTGTCGAACCTAAGAACATCGTCGCCTCTAGGTCAAGATATTTCAAAAGCATATCGATGCACTTTTTAACATTGTGGTTAAATTTGAGAAAATTTTTCTTCAAACAATTTTCATTTATGAAACATAACTCCAGGTTGTATATTATCATTAAAAAACTATACATAGAGGATTGCTCTCTGGTGCCCGAGTGATTCATCATCTTAGACACGTTAGATTATTCATACGAAGTATTTTATTCAGAGAGATGATAAGTACACTTCATATTCTTCCGTAATACCTGAAACTTGATGCTTTGAGTATTAATGAGAAAGAAAAGAAATTATTTTCTATTTTTTTTTTTTTGCTCAGGAATGTAAAAATAAACCTGCTCTTCATCGTCATTATGCTATTGGACATGGAATATTATGCCGATCAGGTAGTCCACGTCCTTTATCAAAACCACGAAATACATTTGCATTATATACAACACCATTATCACGTGCTGTTCGTCCATTATGTCCAATTAGACGTCTTGCACGTCGTCCAACATATAGTATTGATATAAGTGACATACGTAGTAAATGGGAAACACATATTAATGAAAAACCAAGAGAAGATATTCGTAATACATGTATACGTTTTCGTGATTTATATGACAAAGGAAAAGAACGTTATAAACTAGTTCATTTAAATGATTTATTTCCATTTAAAAATGAAAATGATGAAATAAAAACACTTGATGATTTTATGCCGAAATCTGAAGAAAAAATACTCAATGAAAATGAAACTAATTTACCAATGCGTTATCCAAAAATACAAGAAGATTCAAGTGAATTTTATGCACAATTTACTCATACTAATTTGAGTATTATGAAAAAACGACCTTATGAATCAAATGAAAATTCAAATGAAGGTAATTAAAATAAATATTTACAAAAAAATAAATTTAAAAAGAAAAATATTTCATTTTTTTACTTTTCTAGGTCCATCACCAAAACGAACATTAATTAGTCGACAAAATTTAATCAAAACAAAATCACCGGTAAAAATTTCTTTTGTTTATTTTTTGATGGAATATTTAATTGAAAACAGAAAGAAAATAGAATATTGTTTCATATTCTTTCAACTTTGAAAAAAAAAAAGAAGCACTCATCTAATAATAGGAAATATGTAGGAAATGAGAAAAGAGACAAAATAAACAAATGAAGAACGATTAGACAATCAACAGTTCGTTCTTTTTTCTAGACGTTTTGTTGACGTATAACACTATTACGGTCAACAAGGTCGTTCTTTTTTTTCTATCGAGGATCAGTAATTAGTTTTTTTGAGTCAAGATATCAAATATGAATCATTGAAAAACGAATAAAAAGAAAAAAGCATAATGAATAACCTAATCCTTCAGTATGACATAAGATTAGATCTTAACTAAATCAATATTAAATCGTTACAATTTCAATTTATTTTCTTTTTAGAGTACAACTAAATTATCTCGATCACGTGCTTATACTGTACCATTTATTGATCGTAAGTTAAAATTATTATTTTATACTTTTTTTTACATAGATATTCTTTTATATGTTTAGCTCCTGATGGTATTTATTTACGTGTGACAAAGGATATCAAGTATGATTTTCTTATTTCATTTAATTATATCATATTTCGTTTTTATTTTAGACGTTTACGGAAAGAAATTCCTCAAAAAGAAATTCGTCGTATTGCACGTGCACCATGGAAAAAACTTAATACCAATTTTGTTTCGTATATTGATGATGATATAGTTATACTTGATTAAATCAATGTGCGTATTTTTTGTTTTTTTGTATATAATCATATTCAATTTTTTTTCATTCGAATTCGATTGTTCAATTAAAATCAAGAAAAGAAATTTCACAAAAAAAGAAAAAAAAAGAATATCTATTCAAGGACAATCTTTTCATAACGAAAAAAAAAAAAATTTAAAGAATTTTTGTTGTAGCTGTTATGACTGACTTGTGTGTCTATTGTTCTCTCTCTCATTCTTGTTTTTTTCTTCTGTTTTCATTGATATCAAAACGTAAAATATGTATGTGAAGATAAACTACAAGTTCATTCATCTTCTGTTCTCTTTCTTATGTTATTATTCATTCAAAAATTTTTGTGCTCTTCTTTCCTGTCTTCTTTTTTTTTTGTCCAAAAGATCTTTCGGAAATAAAAAATTCAATTCATTTCTTCGTCTTTTTTTTTTTTTTTCTCTTTCAAAATTTCGTATCGATGTGTGAGCGATTATTTTGAGTGAACATTGAAGTTATATGTCAAGTGAGAAATAATGAGTAATAGTTGCTTTTTTTATTATGCATTATATGAACATAGTTCAAAGTGGAAGAATAGAAAAAAAAGAAACAAATTATTACAAATCGAGCGATGGATCCGGTGAATGTTCAAAGAATATTTTACGTCAATGCCATTGATATTACTTTCAGGTGAGAATTAACCTTTTTCAATGAGGAAAGAGAACATATTTGAAATGAAAGTTTTTTTTTTTATTTGAGAAAAGAAAACAGTTTTATTACATTAAATAAAAGAGATGACCGATTTATGACTTCATTGAGATCGAGGGCACTCTCTCTGTATATATATATATATTGGTTAGAATTTTTACATTGTCATGTGCGTGCTGTAACAATGTCGGACACAAGTATCAATGTAGACAAAAATCGATTAGAAACGATCATGTGTAGGAGAGATAGATAATGATCGTACTCGACCTTTTTTCTTTTTTTTCTAGATGATCCTTTTTTCTCTCTTTTATCATCTTATTATAAAACACTGATTTTCTTCAATGTCTCAGAACATTGATCATTATCCATTGACTACTTCGTCTTCATTATCATCTCCAAGTAATAATAATAATAATAAACGACTTCTATCCCATCAACACTTTCTTCCGACCTCATCAGACTTCAATACACCTTCATCAGTAGTGAGCAACATTCAAAATGATTCGCCATCATCGCAATCTTATACGGTAAGATATATGACATAGAATAAATGAAGAAGGAAAAGAAAAAAAAATTTGCATAACAATCTTTCTTTCTTTACCTTCTCTCCACAAGTAACGATTGTATAAAAGAACGAATGAAACAAAGCGCACTATGTATTTTGCTTCGCCTTTCTTTTTTTGTATTCATCTTTGTTTTTATTAGTCGCCTATTGTCAGTGACGTTTGTACTAGTAGCAAAAATGGTGTCCGAAACCCATCGGCAACGATGAAAACGAAGGATGGTAATTCACCCAATGGTGTACGTAAACATTTAATTATGATAAGAAAAAAAAAAAAAAATAAAACATTTTCTCTTTCCTTTTAGAATCATATCAACGACAAATATGCATTCACTTTAGGTAAGAAAAAAAGAAGGGTTTAAACGGCTTACTGTCCCTTGATTACATAAAAAATTTATTCCAATTAGCGGTTTTCATATGTAAGGATAAATATTCATATGACTTTCATCATAATGTTCCTACAGTTTCTTTTCAACATTCTTTTACTACGACTGTATGTTTTCGGCGTTAAGGAGTTGAAATCTCCATTTCATTTCGTATTCTAACAATCGATATTAAAAATTGTTCTTCTCCTATTAAATCGATTGTCATGTAAATGTTAGAATATGGAGAATTTACATATGTTTTTTTTCCATTTGAGAATGTCGACCTTCCAAATAATTAATAGTATGTGACGTTATATTCCATTTGAAAAATTTATCGGAATTCGGTTTTTTTGACAATATATTGATTGTCACAAATGTCTACTTAGTTGTTTATTTCTCTTCTTTGAAATAATCAACAGTAAGTAAACCCTCAAGCAAGAAAAAAAAATGGTGCTTTGAATAAATTTTTTTTGTATAATCAAATGACAGTAAATCATGTACACAGAAGAAAAAAGAAACCTTTTTTTTTTTCATATCACTTATAATGCCATTGATTTATTTCAGACTTTACCCCACCGGTGGTTAAAACTAAAAAAAACCATAATCGTAATTTAAAATCAGTAAGTTTGAAATAAAGGAAAAAGAAAGTTTTGATTTTACTGTTGGCGAATTTTTTTTTTTTAGCAACTCTATACATATAACATGGCAGAAAACGATAACGAAGACCTTCATTCTCCTTTTGAACTAGGTAATTGAAAAAAAATGAAATTCTCTTTTTTTTTTGGTATAGAAAAAAAAATTCTAATTATTTCAACTCTTAGATGTTCCACTCTGTGACAATCAACCATTAAAAAAAGTTCAAAATGATTTTCTTATCGATCGCATGTTGAAAGATGAGAGTAACTCAAATTTCAATTTACAACATCGATCTTCTAATCAACAATCTTATATAAATGTTCTCAATCATTCATCACCTCTTCTCACACCATCATCTGATCATCATGATATTGATGCATTAAGTGATGCAGGTACATATATTATTGAAGATGATGTTGATATTGCACGTGATGATGAACCTGAACAAGATATTGAACAACAAAATGATACACAAGACAACACTTCACCACCATCAACATCATCTTCATTTAAACGATATGCAGCAACAAAAAAAAATCGTCATGGAACATTCGATATTCATGGTACATCATCAAAAACAACGCATACTGTCAATCGTCCCATTGTTGATTTAAATGTTCCAACACATGATTTATCACTACCGTCATCATCATCATCATCATCATCATCGGCTAATTCATCCCCTTCTTCATCTCTTCTTTCATTACCAACAGAAACTGATAATAGTATACGCAAAGAACCTGAAGGTGCCTCTCATCATATTAATATTGATGATAAGTCTTCCACGGGTGTAATTTATGCAGTACAACGGCCAAATACTCTTTTACAACATCAACAACAACCACGTTGTATAACTCCACCACAAAATCTAATAAAACCAGCTGAATGTTTTGGTACAAAACAATTTATTAAGAAACTTAAGTTTTTCTTTTTTTTTTTTTTTTCTTTTAGTTATTTCACCAACATTTGAAACAAAACCTTTTCCGAATACAACAACTACTGCGCCAAGACGAAAACTTGAGACTCAATGGAAGTTAGTTTCCTACATGCAAACTTAAATAATTTTTAACTTACTTTAATTTAGACCTAAATCAACAACAGCTGTTGTTCCAACTAAAGATATTAATTTTGAAGTTCCATCAAAAAGTTCTCCATCATCACCTCCACTTTCAGCTCGTTCAAATCAAAGTGATACAGAAAAATTTTCATTTCATCTTCAACAACAACAACAACCTATACGTCGTCTTGATTCTAAACAACAATCATCTTCATCAAATTTAAAACCTTCAGTTAATAATTCTGATTATATACCATCTTCATCTAAACCATCACTTCGACCACATACTATAATTAATGATCAAACAAATTTATCACCATTTCAACGTAACTCATCTATACGTCAAACAATGCCAGCTAATACACACTATAATCGACAATTACTTGCATCAAAAATCACAGCAACAACAAAATATGTTGATGATAACGAAGAAATTTCATCATCAAATCCAAGTTTAACTAAAGTTTATATGAATAAATCATTTGCATTACGTCGACAACATGCGAATCTTACACCATCAACATCAAAACCAGTACAACAACAACAACAACAACAACAACAGCAACAACAACAACAACAACAGCAACAACAACAACACACAATATCAAAACCATTACCAACACGTCAAATATTAAAACCAACAACATCTGTTCAATCAGCATCTATTCCATCAACAACATTATCAATAAATAATTCAAGTGGACAAACAAATCGTGCTGTTGAATTACGTCGTGCACGTGCACAAGCAAAAATTGAAGAATTAGCACAACGTACAAGACGACAATTACAAAAAACTGAATTACCTAATGATATAATGAGTGCATCATGGCATAGTAATGCAAGTAGTACAAGTAAAAAAGATTTTTCACATTTACGAGCAAATCCTCGATCAACTATTACTACTACGAATAATAATAATAATAATATTTCAACACAAAAACAAGATTTACTAAAAACAAGAACAATATCATCAACATCACATCATCGATCATCATCAGCAAGTCCAAATCCATTAGGAGAGACAACAATAACAAAAACATTGAAATATCGAAAACCAATGGTATCAAGTGTTACTAGTGAATCACAATATCAAAAAATGAATGGAAGTTATTACAGTGAAGAAGTAAGTAAATTAATTAGTTTTTATTCAAACATATATTATTTTATCTTTTAGGAACGATGTGATTCATTGCGTGATGATGGACAAAGATTAGCAATTAAATTAATACAACTTTCATCTGGAATATTGGCAAAATTGAAGTAAAAAAAAAAATACATATAAATTAATTTTCGTTGTATTATATTGATAAATTTTAGACCGAATAATGCTGCAAGTGACAATGATTCGAATGTGCGGGAATTAGAACAACTTGTTGATCAATTACAAACGGTCAATCGAACATTGAGTAGTATGTATTTTGATTTTGTTATTTAAATATTTCTCAAATATAATCAAATGTGTAATAGAATGAGAATTAGGTATGCAACGAGTTCGAACGTCTAGGCTTGGATTTAATTACAATTATATTCAGTTAATTGATAAAAAGAGGTAGAAGTAAACCAAAAGTGACGATTTTAGACTTGACTACCGTAGATGTATACACGATAGAGTAATTAATTCAAAAATCGAATATCTTCAGTTATACATTAAAAGAATAGTCAACAATATTCCGAAATACTCGAACTTAGCCAAACTTTTCTACCAACGACAAAATATTTGCAAATTATGTTCTTGATGGATACTTGTATTAGCAGTCAACCGCAAAAAAAAATGCAAGGTATTCAGAAAATTCCTTCGTCTGTAGAACTGTATAGAACTCATTGCACTGATAATTTTAATCAAGAAAAGTGTGCAAATTCACTCAAGAAATCATGATGTTAGGGTCAAAATATTCAATAATCTCGACTATGTATGACTGCTACTAAAAAGTAGTTGACGTTTTCGAGTTTATCGATCCTAGTACTATGAATTATTGCGTGAATTTGAATTTTGTTCTTTTGCACAAAAATGATCAGGGCAACGTACTCCCGAGAGTTCTACAGACGAAAAAAAATCTTCCGAGAATCTTACATTGTTTGCGGTTGACTACCTATGTATGTGTGGATCAAAAATATGATTCGCAAGCATTTTGCTGTTGATAGTAGGTTGGGTACTGGTATGATTATCTATATACCTCAAGAACTGCTTAGGCAATTATTCAAGTTTCCAATACTATCCTAATTGGTTGAATAGTTTTCGAATCCGGATACCAAGTTAGAGTTCAAGTTCAGTGCATGCCTAGTGAGAATAGAACTTATGTTTGTAAAAAGTAATATCCGACTATATAACAATAATATAACATTGTTTTCATAAGAAACTACATTTTGAAAGATTTCATGTTCCATTCATGACGTATTATATAAATTTAAAAACTCTATAAAACAACAAGAAGAAGTAATAAGCTCAATTAATCGTCTTTAACAATCATAATAACCTAAAGCATTTTATTTCATATAGAATTACAATCAAAGAAATCATACTGAGCAAATAATTCTCAGACCTTGCGATGATGATTGCATTTTACAATCATAACTCCAATCGTAAAGCTCAATTATATTTAATCAAACATAATTTTTATTTCTTTTTTTTTCTTTAAGGTTGCATACTTTTTAAAAAAAAGAACAAGGAGACATATTCTCTGCAAACAAATTAAAATAGGTTTCCAAGCATTCGGAAATTAAAATAGGTTTCCGATAGTAGAAAAATCGGAAACCCTGAAGAATTTCTGATTTTCGGCAACGAACTGCTTTTTTTCACAAATCCTTCAGGGTTTCCGAAGTTTGGAAATCTATTTTTTTTTATCTTCGAGTAACTCCTTAAGGATTTCGGAATGTTCAAAAAACTATTTTTTGTCAGTGTTCTAAGGATATATATTTTTTTTCGAGAATACAAAGTTGAAGAACAAAAGATTCATTGATCCATTGATTTTCGAGTCTAATCGATAAATTTTCTTAATTGTTACTGATTAAATAGAAGAAAATTAACATATTAATTTGATAATAAATTTATTTCTTTTCATTTCTTTTTTAGCTATCGATGCTTCATTAACCGGTTCGACCAGTGACGAAAATTTGATGTAATTTTTCTTTTGTGCCTGAAATGGCGCATGATCAGTTTTTTTTTTTCTTCTTTTCTTTTTTGTTTTTTACTGCTATACTAAGAAGAAATCTTTTCTTTGTCTTATTCTATACAGTGCTGATTAAACTCTCATCTAATTAATTTATTTTATTATTTTTATCGTTCACCTGTCTAGTTTGCTTTTCTTTTTTTCTTTTTTATTTAAGTCAACAACTACAACAAAAAAACAAAAAGAAAATTTTATTTGTGTTTTTGTGTATATATGTGAAAAAAATAACTGTTTGTGACAACTTTGCGTTCTTCCATGGAAAGAAAGATAACAACTAGTGTTTATCGAAAATAAAATTTTAAAGAAAAATAGTTTCATGCTCTTTAGTTTCTTATAGATATAAGAAAAAACGATATTCAAAAAAAAAATAGAAAAAAAAAGACTCTAAGATCATGCCTCGATATTGGCGTGTCACATTAATGTGGCTGCTTTTCATAGGAATATTCACAATATTATTTAAATTAACCTGTGATAGTTTAGTTAACATTTTCTTATTAGTATCACATTCTTCAATAGTAGATATGGTGGATAAAAATGTAGATTCTAGTTATGATCAATCTTTACTTGCTTGGGTAGCAACTGATCAACGTTTAAATAATGAAAAATTATCAATGGAAAGCATTCAACAAAGAAATGATTTACAATTGATAGGTGCACAAATTTTTTTCCGACATGGAGCTCGAACTCCACTCCATTTATTACCTAGTCTTCAAGAGGTATATTACCGAAAAAAAAACATGGGAGAATTCTGATTTTATGTTTGATCATTATCATTTTTTTTTCTAGGTTATTTATAGCAAAGAACAAATAGAAAATTATCTCCCATCAAAATGGGATATAAAGTTAATTACAAAAAAAGGCAATGATATTGTATCAAGAGATAAAGTATTATCAGCAAGTGATGTTGCTGGTAATCAAAGTCAAAAATTAAAAGTAAACAGAAATATATATATATATATATATATTTAAAAGATGAATAATTATTTTTATAAAATTTTTTTAGTCAGTATCTGGTGAAAATGTGATAACAGGTCAATTGACAGCTATTGGCGAAGAACAATTATTTCAACTTGGAAGACTTATAAGATCTGAATTAATTGATGATAGTAATAATGATCAGAGACTTTTACCAGCAACATATGATTCAAAATACGTCTAGTACGTTCTATTGAGTAAACTTATTCAGTGTTGATTCAAAGGTGTTTTTTTCAAAAAAAGCTTAATCTATTTTGAAAACGTGACGACTCGGGTAGAAATTAGACTACTAGACTTTCTTCTAAGATAATGAAAAACATTGATAGTATCTATTCTATTTCGGTAGCATGATAGAGAGATCATTGATTACAAGTTTGGAAGGACAAGTCTCAAAGTAGGTTTATTTTGACTTATAAGAAGTAAAGTCCCTGGCTTGTAATTAGCTTGCAGTACAAAATGCACCACTTAAAGAAAATAAACATAATGCATATTATGCATCGTTGAGAGATAAATGGCAAACAGGTTTTTTTATGCTAGATTTATTGTTTCATAAGGTTAACCCATGACATGGTAATGATATATGTTACTTATTTTGTTGAATGAATGCTTAGAAAGAAAGGTTAGAGATAAGCAAGATCAGATACAATATAATGAAATACATTGATATATAGGTCTGTTGACGATTTACAACATGATTATATTTTGGGAAATAAAAAAAAGATCAAAATAAGATGTTAACGCAAGAAAAATATATCAAAAAACTGTCAAAAATATCCATTCGGTAGAGAATATTATTCTAATTTGTACATGTCTCAAATATTAGATGAATTACAATGATCTGGTTTTCGTCAGGTTATAGCCCATAATCTCTAGTACGCTGGTAAAATATTTTAGTTGAATTCATTGATCCACTTAGTCTTTATTGATGATACAATCGTAGCATGCCGTGGTTTCATTAAGTTTTTTGATGACGGTTGCGCGCATGTTCTAAGTTGAAATTTTTATTATAATACATGAGTCAATTCAACAAATTGTGTTCTACATAAGGAACAGTTTTTGTCGTAACTTCTCTTTGTATATGGATTCAAAAAAAAAATGTTTTCTTGATCTATACCGGAAATTTTCAACAAAATCAACACAAATTTTTGTTTCTACATGATATATTTAGCTAGTTTTATTGTTCAATATATCAAAAAATCAAGAGTACTACAAATTGAATGAGATATTCTTTTTGATAAGATATTTCATGTTCACAAATTGTATTGGTGATCTTCTAGGTATGCACTAATCGCGGACAGACTTTCTTGCAGAGTTTCGTTCACGCTTTTGCGGAGATAATAATAATTGTTTGAAAATGGTCTGTAGTAAACTCTTATATTTGAAATCAAAACCGAGTAAATCAATTAAACTATAAACTCCTGTTACATTATAAATAGCAGGCATGAAAAGTTTATTGTAGCTTAGCAACAGGTTGGCTATGTATCTAACCAAACAAGGACATACCATATGAAACTAATCATAGGACGTTGTCCTAAATTTTATCTACTACGCACAATTAGTAGCTATGTATTTAATGAGACCTGCATGTAGGCTATGAATGAAACTACGATAAGATTTTTATTCTTGCTATTCATAATGTAACAAGAGCTTTTAGGTAAAGTGATATAATCGGTTTTAATTTCAAATATAAGAGTTTTCTATAGATATGTTGAAACAATTTTTTTATCAACTTTAGCGGGCGCATAAGACGGTACAAGAAAGTCTATCTATGATTGATGCATACATAGGTGACGGTCAACACAATGTTCGAACGTGAAATATCCTGTCAAGTAGAATATCTCATCCAATTTGTAGTAACCTTGATTTTGATATATTGATCCATAAAATTGATTAACCATCATACAATAACAAAAGTTTGTTGTCTTGTTTTTGTTGAATGTTTCCACTATAGATGAAAAAACATAGTCTTTTAAAACTCAAATTCTAAGGAAAGTTACAACAGAACGTACTCCTTATGTAGAGCACAATTTACTTGATTGGCACATGTATTATAAAGAAAATTTCAACTTAAAACATTCACAGAGTCGTCTTCAAAAACAGGTGCTTCGGTAATTTTGAATGGTAAAAAAACAGCATGCTACGATTGTACTGTCAATTAAAACCAAACAGATCGATGAGCTCAACTGAATTTTTTTCGTTTGTACACTAGAGACTATGAGCTATAGTCTGACGTGAACCAGATCATTCTAGCTCATCTAATGTGTGAAATATACACATACCAGAATAAAATTCTCTATCAGATGGATATTTTTGACAATTACTGTATCTATTACATAGTGTATGATTATGAAATAATAAAAAGAAGAGAACGGTTTTTATCTACTACATAAAAATGGAATTTCGAATAATGTAACCTATTACAGCTTTATGTACTCTTTTTTCATATGATTACAATTTTGTTCTATTTTCTCATGTAGATCCTATTGTACTATCAAAAGAACTAGTTGAATGAGAAAGAACAAAGGCATATTTTAGAATAAACTGTTCAAGCATACACGACAATATTCCAAAAACTAAACAGATAATCTTTTAGCAAATATTCTCTATTTAATGTTATGAAGTATGCAGCCCTTTGATTCTCAGAAGTTAGACAATTCAAAAAAGAAGAAATACAAAGAGATTTCTAGTGAGAATGCCTACATTAAACACTGAAATAAACAAGAAATGATAAAATAATTTTTTAAATATTTTTCTGAATTTCAACTGATTGAAAATTTCATAATTCCAAGAAACCTAATGATTGGTACATAATAAACAAGAAAAAATATTTCCCTATTTTTAGAGCATTTTCCAACACATTAGAGACTTCGCTTGAGGCTCATTCGATAGTTAATTTTATGGTCTACAAAAATACGGTTTTTGTTTTTTCAAATAACATTTTTATTTGTCGCTACGAAATTTAGAAGATGAACGTCTGCTTAATAGTTCAATTGCGACGCTCAAAAAAAAAAACGACAAAAACTTTTTCATTAAAGTTTCGCTGATTTTTCAAATATGCTAACAAGTACTCCACAAATTTCTGTATCATTCGATGTATGTACCAGGATTTCAGAAGATACACATACGAGAACTTCGATTTAATCATTATGTGACTTCATTCAGAATTAAAGTATAAATCTGATGGCATGAGAACAAACGTGTTACAGATGTAGTCTCGTTTTGGAAAGCACGACTTTTCAGAATGTGTCTTAAAATACCACTAGATGTTAATTCAAAGCCTTTTCCTTCTGAACAACAGCAACAGAAATCTTGAAAAAGTCGTGGAAGCAGAGAGCATGACATTCTCTACCTTTTGATATCAAATACTTTATTTTTAGCATCGATTCTAATGAGAAAAGGTTTACATAGATCGACAGATGCCTTCAGAAAATCAGAAATTACATTTCGATGACTGAGTAGATATTCATCTTCTAAATATTGCGTCGACAAAAACAAGCTATTTGAAAAAGAAAGACATTAGTTTTGTAGGATAGAAATCTCTCGATTGAATAGACTTAAAACGAAGTCACTAATATGTTGGAATGTGTCCTAAACAAAAGAAAACATTTTATTACGTTTATTATATCTTTGTCATGAATTATAAATGCTTATATTTATTTTTTACAGTTGTCGATCAACATATATGGATCGAACAATAGCCAGTGCTCGATCATTTCTTGCTGGTCTTTTCACTTCCGTTAAAATAAATAATAAAATACAAGCGAATGGTAAATCATAGTAATAAATGTATACGTGATTGTCAAAACTTTATTCCTATTAAAAGGTCCATTTGAAATTGAAGTTCAACATTTTCCTGATGAAGACATGGTAAATATTCATAAATGTTAAATCATGTTGATCGATTAATATTTGTTATTTCCGGTAGTTTCCTAATCCAAATGTTTATCCAATTCTTAATAATTGCCATAGTATTAAATCTCTTTATACGTCATTAAATGATGACCATGAATTGAAAAGAGCTCGACGAGCTTTAATAAATCATATTGGTAAAGAAGTTTTTGATTTCAATTTAATTTTTATATATGATGTAATGTAATCATCAGGTCTTACTGAATATCCACATGGTATTATTGAATTGTATGATGATATTGTTTCGAGACAAGTAAATTATTTTTGTCCTACACACAGAATGAGTCTTTTTTTGTTAATTCTTGGATATAATAGGCTCATAATTTCACTGTTCCAAAAGATATTCTCGAATTGACAAAAGATTTTGACATCATGTCTGCACGTGAATATGTTTATAGAGCGTCAGTATATTTTTTAATATAAAAAAATTCAAGAATTCTACAGATTTTGTATATTTTTTAGTACAAACATTGGCTATGACTTATTTATACGTTCCAGTTTTGGACGAATTCTTTATCTCATACAAAAAAATTTTGATTCTATACTAAAAAATTATCTTGAAGAAAAAAATAATAATTTAGAAAAGTATAAATCTATTTGTATTTTTTTTAAACTGAAGAGTTTTTTTTTTTGTATTTTAGACCTTATCAAAAATTTTTTATTTATTCTGGTCATGATAGCACATTAATTCCATTAGCAATGGCACTTGAAGTATATTAATTTGTTGTAATTTTTCATAATCTGATATTTTTTTCTTATAGATTTTTGATATGCAATGGCCTAAATATGCTTCATATATTTTAATCAAATATTTTATTTCAAAAATTAATCCAAATGAAACATATCTAACGGTTATTTTTGATAGTGAAGTAAGTTAATGATTAATTGTTATTTATCTATATAATTATATTTTGACGTTTTTTTAGCCACAAATATTACCAGATTGCCGAGACCATTATTGTTCCTACTCAACATTCTTAAAAAATCTTCAAAGTCGTTTTGATAAACCTAGAATCTCGTCTCAAATATAATCTTACATTTATGAGACTTTTCTTAGAATCTTTCAGGCTCATTGAAATGTTAAGTTGTTTTTTTTTTTCTGTAACGAACGACAATTTTGTTTTCTTTGTAAATGAATACATTGATTTTAATGACGTATTCATTTTTTTTAAAATATGATAATATATGTATTGAAAATGAAAGAATATTTTATTCAAGATTATTTTTTTGAAAGAAGCATATTTATGACTGATTTGATTGAAACCGAAATTAATCATGCAGGTTTTATTGCAGTTCATGTTGGTAGGTTAAGTGCAACTTATAGGGAATGGAAAAAAACGATTTTTTTTTTGTCGTAGGCGCTGGTCTTCAATCACAAGCACGACTACCTCGATATGCAGAAACAATAAAACGAGCTTGTTTACAAGGAATAAGAGTATTAAATAATGGTAAAGATGCATCGGAAGCAGCATGTATTGCTGTTGCTGTACTCGAAGTAATGTTTAATGTTGTGTTTATTGAATGAGAAACTTTTTTGACTTATCAGGATTGTTCATTAACAAATGCTGGTGTTGGTTCTAATTTAACGTTAGATGGAAAAGTTGAATGTGATGCGTCAATTATGGATGAAGAAAGTTATGGTGCAATAGGAGCTGTTTCAGGTAATCGAATTTTGTATTTAACTAGTTCATTATATATATGATTAATTGAATGTTTTTTTATTTTTATTTGAAGGTATAAAAAATCCAATAACATTAGCATGGGCTTTATTACATACACAAAAACAAGGTCTTATGGATGGTGGTCGAATACCACCATGGTAAATAAAGAAAAAAAAAAGTCAAGTTTTATTGAATAGACGTAACTGTTGGATCGTCTGAACAGATAAAAACTTAAAAATCAGTCTATTATAAAGCTAATTGATACTGAACATTGTTTCAACCTAGCATGACTGGCGAATTTTTCTCTCGTTGAAAAGATCACATAACCATTCCCTGTCTCCAGGAATAAAAAATTTTCGCGATGAATTGTTTATCATTTGCTTTCAACGCTTTTTACTTTTATGACTCAAACTAATAGGTTTTTCTGTAAAAAAAACTGTTAGCGAAATCTCTATAGGATTAAAATGTGAAACACGATATATTTGTTATTCATACGTTCAAGAAAAAAATAGTCAAGGTGACTGTCACGATCTCCATAAGGTAGGAAAATGGATCCAAATTTCTACCTGTATACATCAATACTCACTCAGGTTTCACAAAAATTTCAGGTTATTCTTAAGAAAATTCAAATAAACATGATCGTTTTACTAACTGAGACTTTTCAAACTAACCAAAGAATTTTTTCATATAGAATTCTTTTCTTTAAACTTATTTTAAAAGTAATCTGCGATACAAAACCCTTTGTTCATTACTGATTTTATTCGTATTCGATATATTCTTCAAAAAAATATATGGAAGTTTTTTTTTAATAAATAGTTTCCTCGTGGGTGATGGTGCCAAACAATGGGCTCAACAAAATGGTATTCCATTAATTGATGACCAGCAAATGAAGACAGGTTTTATCTTTCCAATTAACTTTCACATATATATTTATTTATTTTTTTTCATTAGAAAATAGTACTTCTATGTTTGAAAAATATAAGAGAAAATTAGATGAAAGTACATCAGAATCAACTAAAAAGATGAAAACGGTATTAGATTAATATTGATCTTATAGCCTTGTTTTTGGTTTTTTTTTGTAGGATGATGTGGATGATACTAAACGATTAGATACAGTTGGTGCTATTGTCATTGATCGAAAAGGAAATGTAGCAGCAGCTGCGTCAAGTGGTGGAATACTTTTAAAACATTCTGGTCGTGTAGGACATTCAGCTATGTAAGTACAGTCAAAATTCTAAATTAAAAGAAAAGCTTTTTTTCTTCTATCAAGGTTCGGTTGTGGTTGTTGGGCAGAACGAAAAGATTCATGTTCAATAGCAGTTGCATCTTCAGGTTTTTTTTATTCTATTCGAGTCCAGTGGTTTTTAATTGATTTTATTTTGAATTAGGCACTGGTGAATTTCTTATGAAAAGTCTTTTTTCTAAATCAATTAGTGATGCTTGTACAATTGAAGATCTAACACCAGAAACAGTGCGAAATCATCTAAATAATACTTTTCTCAGTAAAATATTTATTATTTAATATAAATAAATTACTAAACTAATCTATATCTTAGATCGACGAATGACACCAATAAATGCGGAAAAATATTTTGGATTTATTCTATTAAAATTAATCACAAATGAAAATCAAAATCGATTAGTAGAATTTCTTTGTGCACATAATACTCAAACAATGTTTGTTGGTTATATGAATTCACATCAAAGCAAAGTCACAGTAAATTTTTACATATCACTTAATTTTTTTTTTTCTTTTTGTGGAACTCATATTTTTTCGAAGAAAAACAATGCGCGTAAGTTTAAATCGAAGTTTTGTGGTTTCTCCTAGGTCCTATCAACTAAAAGTGGGACGAGAAAAACCGAGGATAACCAGGTACGTTTGCATTGATACAGGATGGGGGAGCGCGGAGACCAAAAGTGATTGTGCACGTTTACCTAGGAAGCGAGGAAGGCCAAAGATCACTAGGTGCGTTTTTCTTAACAACGAAAAAAGGTGTGTTAGTCATAACACTCCTTAGATTATAGCGAAAGTTCCTAGAATCTCCCAAAACATAATATGAATCTAAGATTCCTACTGTAGATTCTAACTAATCTAAATATGATAGGTTTTAATATTTAAACCAGCGAAAGTCTTATTGTAGATGTTAATCTTTAGGACAGAGGTATTATTCATCCAACAAAATCACCATAGGATGCACATAGAAAAGTATGAACTAATTCAATGCTAAGTTTAAATAAAACTCAATAGTATATCTCATGCTCGAAAGTTTACTGAACGATTAAATAAATATGTATAGCAGGTTTATATGATTACTGAAATGATAAAACGAACAATAAAATGATATTTGTCGCTTCCTATAGCATTTATCATATATAGCATTATTAGAAAAGAAGTTAGCCATTGAAAATGTGTCTGATAATACAAATATTTTCGACATGATGAAATCTCCGAACTCATTTATTAATTATAAAAATTTGTTTATTTAGCATTTTCTTTAAATAATTTATCGTAATCTCTTTGACAATAGGAACAGTCAGAGTTTGTGAGTTCCACACATTTTGTGCCTCTCTCATAGAGCCCTATTGATAATTTTTTTGTTCTACGTTTGTTCTTTTTTTTTTTTTTTGTTTCTAGACTCTATTTTCAGAATTACATTCTGGTGATTCATTATCAATCAATATTGATACAATTCATATAACATAAAAATTTTTTATTTCTTTTCTTGTAAATCAATTTTGTTTGTTAAATTTATTTCCTTCTCGTGTTCTTCTAATGTTCAACAATGTAAAAGATATTAATCATTCAAATGTTGTTAACAAAGAAGAAAAATAAACTTGATTGAAGAGAAAAAAAGACAAGTATATAATGAAAAAAAGAGATGATGGTAACAATAAATCGATGTTAATTGAGCTGCTTTTGTTCACTAGATAAAAACAAAAAAAACGAAAATCAGAATGTCAAAAAAAAAAAAAAAATTCAAAAAAGATATTTTTTTTCACTTACGTATTTTTCTTCTTTAAGACCATCTTTGAAAAAGATAAATACTGGTGTTAAACCATCTTCACGATAATATTGAAGTACAACCATACCATCAATATTCATACTTTCACCAAGATAAAAACGATATTCATCGAATTTACCGAGAATTTCTTTGGCTAATTTTGTCATACCAGTTTGAAAAGGTTGTACACGATTAGGTGCATTTTCTTGAAGATAATCTTTAAGTCTAATATAAGACAAAAATAAAATATAAATAAAATGATTATTATTTTACTTTTTTGAATATGTTTTTAACCAATCTTTGAAACTAGCTTTATCAAATGGTGTTTCAACTAATTTATGAGTTAAAACAACATTGATACCAGTGACTGCTGATGATGCCACACCACCCTCTTCAGTGGCTGCTTCACTACCTTCTGGTGCTTTATTACCACCAATTAATGAATCATCAATATCATTACTTATAGCGATATTCTAAAAATTTCGTAATGAAATAAACTTTTGTTTTCATTTTTTTTCAATTAATATTCTTACTTTGCCTTCAACTTCATAATAAACATCATCAACTACTTTCATTGGATATGAATCGCTACATAATTCATCACCAGTAAATACGTCAGTAAAAACTTTCATGATTGTTATTAATTTGAAAAAATTAAATTAAGTAGCAGCTATATTTTCTACAAAGAAACATAAAACGAAATCAACATCTTACGTAAAAGATAAGAAAGAAACGCATGCCATTAAATGCATAAAAGAAATATTGAATGACTCATGAAAACATTGACTTATATACGATCGAGAGAGACAGAATTAGAAGGAGGTTTCATAGATAAATTTTGATTCGAAAAATTTTTTATCTTTTATTATATAAATTTTTATATTTAGTTATATAGAAAAATTATTTTGAAGTGTTTTTTTTTAAGTTCATATTATTTCAATGTAGCAGGACAATCAAAGGGTTTCTTTTATTAAAATTTGATTGGTTACCAGAAAATAAATAAATAAATAAATTGACGATTTATGGTTGAAAGTTATTTGCTACCATAACATCCACGTACGTCTAAAGGAAACAAACGGAAAAAGAAATGACAATTTAGATATTGTGAAAAAAAATTTTGCGACATAAGCTTATTTGTTTTTAGAAGCTACCTATAGGTAGCAGAGTTTCAGTCAAAAGTACTTCAGTAGATATGTCACCAGCACCTGATTTAAGTGATGAAACTATCATTTTGAATCCACCACCGAATACAGTTGTTCGTAATGGTATTTCATCATCTGATGAACTCGATCGCAATCCATTTAGTGAACAACATATGGATCTTGGGTTAGTTTTTTTTTCTTCTTCTTATTTTTCTGTTTTTAATATGATGATTTTTAATTAATAGTTCATTAACAATCGATTCAATGGAAAGCGTTGATTTATATGATGATGATGACGAAAATGAACCACCTACATTAACCAAAGAATCTAATGCTCCATTAACAACTTGTTCAGCACCATCAACACCAACAGGTGCGCGTGATCCACCAGTAGCATTTCGAAGGTCTTCAATAACAGATAATGAACTACCTCAAGTTGAAGTTAAATATCAAGGTGTTACAAATAATGGTGGAACAAATAGTCCTGATGGCAATGGTTTAATTGATACATTTTGGGGTTGCTTAAAACCAATATTTTCTGCAGTAAATAAAATTGGAGAAAATATTAAATCTACTAGAGATACAACAAATACATTAACAAAAACAGTTGATGATTGGGAAATTCCAATTGATAGTATTATGAATGATTTAGTACTGATTGGCACTGGAATTGAAGGTACAGTTTATCTTGGTAAACTGGGTGGTCAAGATGTTGCATGTAAACGAGTAAAAAGTGAAGAAGAAACAAATATAAAACATTTAAAAAAATTAAATCATGTTAATGTTATAAAGTTCCGAGGTTTGTTAATAGCTTTATTTATTTTTTTTTTATATTTCAGCTATATTGATTTTTTTCTTTTAGGTGTTTCTGTCGCTTCACCATTATTTTATATCGTTATGGATTATTGTGCTTATGGTTCATTATATGATGTATTAAAAAGGCGTCGTGAAAAAAATTCTTGTACCAAACCAACACAAGTTCTTGATTGGTCAAAACAAATTTCTAATGGTGTTAATTATTTACATTCAAATAAAATCGTTCATCGAGATTTAAAATCACCAAATATTCTTATTGCTGATAATTTTGTTTTGAAAATTTCTGATTTTGGTACAAGCAAACAATTAGGAAATAAACAAGGGCAGATAATGTCATTTAATGGAACCTCAGCTTGGATGGCACCAGAAGTTATTAGACAAGAACCTTGTTCAGAAAAAGTTGATATTTGGTATGAAAAAATTTCTTGAAAATGGAAAATTTATTTGACCAAAAGATTTTGTCTTTCGTTATTATAATAAGAATTGAAAAAACCTAACGATCTAAGATTTTTATTATGAGAAAGAGTCAAATCATGAATGAAGATTGATGAGCCAATCTATGAAACTAGTCATTCATTATCTATTCAATCAATCAGATAACAACAAGGAGAAAATGCAGATTTAGAACCACTAGTACTTTTTGGTATTGAATGTGCTGTGATGCTGATACATGTTTGAAATTAGATTGGAGATTAAGATGATAGCCGTGAATAAGATCCATACTATTTTAATTCGATTTCTTTTTATCAAGACACGGCTATTTTTCGAAAATAACGAGTTTGTTTTTATACAACTTGCCTCAAACTTCTTGGAATCGAAGAATTCAAATCTCCTATTATTCAAATGTTTGTTTGAAATAGGCTTCGCTGATTAGAAAAAACTGAACTAAAAAACTGTAAGAACTAATCTCAAGTTCTTAGTCTCCGTACCCGAGATCCTTTATTCAAATCTTATAGAGCATCGTTATTTGTTTTGTTTTCATTAAAAAAATCGAATTGAAATAATCTAGCTCTCACTCATAGCTATCATCTTCATATACAGTCTAATTCCAAATATATATCAACACCTTCAGTACCAAAACATGCTTAGGTGCTAGGGCTTCCAAGTAGAGAGCTGTGGGTCTACGTTTTTTGATTCAGACCCGTCCCACTAGTCCTGGACTTGGATTCGGTCGAATCTAGTCTCGATTTTTTTTGCCAATATCTGGCATTCTCTGTGCATATGAACAAATAAAGGATCACAGTTTTACCCATTTATTGGTTGCCTTACATCGTGGACAGATGATTTTTTTTATGTGTGGTTTTTGTTTCTTTCAATTGCAAATTGATATTTTTTGTATTTGAAATGATTTTTTCATTGTACAATATAAATGAACTAAGAAATCTTCCAAAAAACGAAGAAAAATCTTGTGCGTAGAGTTCAGCACTTCTATATTTATTTTCGTAGCTGTATCCAAACTGGGTCTAACCTTCAACCTACATTTGGACCCCGGACTCGACAGTAAATAAAATTTTGGACCCGGATCCGAGGCTGGACGAATCCACACCTCCCTAATTCCAAATCTACCCTTTTCCTTTGAAAACAAGTATTTTTTCTATTGGTTGAAAAGCAAACTATAATTTTTAATTGATAATTTATTTATGTATACTATATCAGAAATTCATGAAGATGGATTTCTTTTTAGGTCATTTGGTATTGTTGTTTGGGAAATTTTAACATGTGCAGTACCATATCATAATATAGATCCAAGTGCAGTTATGTGGGGTAAGTTTATTTTAGTTTATTTCTTATCAATAATTTTCTTTTTATTCTTTAGGTGTTGGTAAAGGTAGTTTGACATTACCAATTCCATCGTCTGCTCCTGAAGGTTTTAAATTATTAATGACAATGTGTTGGAATCAACGACCATCGAATCGACCATCATTTCAACAAATAATAAAACATTTAAATATTAGTGAACCAGAAATAATTTTATTTGAACAAGAACAAGAATATACTGAACTAACACGTGTATGGTCAATTGAAATTAATGAACAATTAGCACGTTTACCAACAATAGATATATCAGCAACACTTAAAATGACAAATGATGAATTATTGAAAAAACGTAAGGAAGAATTACAACATATAGCTGATATACGTTCACATTATCAAACAAAATTACAACAAGTTAATACACTTTATATTGAATTATCATCATTAATGATGCAATTACAAAAACGTGAACAAGAAGTCAAAAAAAAAGAACGTTTACTTAATATACAACATCATCCATCATCAGGCAATAATAATGGAAAAAAACGATCAAATAATTCTCTATCAGAGGCACGAAAAAAATCTTTACAATTAATTAAAGCCGCAAGTTTTACTTTAAATGACCCAAATATGAAGTTATTTCAACTATCAACAAAACAAGGACATTCAAATAAATCAAATACTTTATGTAAGTTGAGTTTTTTTTCACTGACGAATCACATACATTGTATTGGATACATTCATTAAATACTAAAAAAAATATGGCATAAGGTTCACCTTGAACGTGCATACAAATGTATACTTTCAATTAGTTCCAACTATCAAAAATATACTTTAATTTAAAAAAAAGAAAAAGAATTTCGATAGTATGATTTGTTTAAATAGTTCAAATGTAATAAAGAGTAAATTTTTAAAAGAAAACTTTATTAGTTCAAATCTGCAGTTCGCTTGAATACAATTGTAAATTTTTATCGGTAAACTTGATATACAAAAATTATTTTTCAAAATCCTGCATGACCAACAAAAGGTCCTTAACTATGAAGAAAAACAAATGATTACTATTGATTGATCTATACTTGTTGTTTTCAACCAATAACATATTTTAATACTTTAAATTCTATTCGAAATCATAGGAATTTTTTTTGTAATAATATTTCTTCCATAATTATTGTTTTTTCAATGATCAGCTCAGTAATCTTAATATTCGTACGTAAAAACCCTTCTGACGTCATAATATAACCAAAAAATAACTTTGATAAATATATTGCACAACTCTTAGGAAATTACAATCTCATGCAAGACGTATTATTTTTTCTTTCTAACATTACATGCTTCTTTCTTTTTATTGCACTATACAGCGTCGAATAATCAATCGTCAACAAGCTCATATAATAATATTTCAATTAATTCAAATAATATTCCAACATCATCATCATTTGTGCCTACAATAAGTAATAATCCAGATTCATCAAGTGTTAAAACTATACAACGACGTAAAAAAGGTCCCGGTCATCGTCGTAATAATAGTAAAGGAAGTACAGCATCATGGACACCACCAAGTCTTTCTGCAATTGCAGATCAAGAAAAAAAACGTGCTTCTATAAATTTAACACCAAATATGATCGAAGAAACATTTCCAAAAAGTCAAACAGTCAATGCATTAGTCGAAATGATTCCTATGACACCAATGAAATCTGCAATACCATCGATTTCGGCTGATATAGATTCGAAATCAAACATTCAAAATCGATCATTGAATCCTAAAAATCTTAAACTTGATCTTTCTAATTCAATAAATTCACAAATATCACCAACAATTCATGAACGACCTACAACTATATTTACTTATGCTTTACGTAAGTCGTCTAGTAGTGATCCAGAAGATTTAGATGAAAATCATCATCATAATCTTTCTCGGCAACGTCGACGACGTAATTTAAATTTTAATCCAAATAAAATATCATCACCATCATCAATAACAATACGTTCAATTAAATCAAATTCTAATGATCAACCAACACCACAAATAGATGAATTAGAAAATGCTAATCGTACGAATGATAATAAAAATGATAATGAAAAAGCAAATGATCTACGTAAATATCCCAGAAGTGTTAGTTTTCAATTATCACCACCAACAACACATGATCGAAGTCCATCTTATCAACAACGAAAAATAAATAATAGGGTAAATTAAAATTATTATTTTATTTACTTAATAATTATTCATATGTATCTTCTTTAGCATATTCCTTACAGTTCATCTGAAGAAGGTGAAGTTGAAGAAGTTCCAAGTGATCATTATGTACTTGATGATGAAAAACATCGAGCTAAGCATGAAAATTTAAATCGAGAATCAACTGGATTATTTTCATCTGAAAGTGAAATCTATCATGGAAATAATAAACATTCATCATCATTAAAAAATGAAGGTAAAAAAAAGTCATTTGTTATTATTATCATTCATAGAATATGTATCAATTATTTTTAATTAGGCATTTTTTCTGATGAAGGTGGTCATCTATCGGATGATCGACCTGAATCACGTGAATCACTAGTAAACAGTGAACCCGAACATGAATGGCTAAATCATGAATAATTTAAGGAATTTCGAAAATTTTCATAACGGAATGATAATAACAGTGACTTGTTCTTTCTTTCGTTCTTTTAATCAAAATTATAACGTCCATTTTTTCTTGCTTTTCTTTGTGTGTGCTAAAAAAATTTTTTTTATGTGTGTTTTCTTCTCTTTCGATGGTTTTGTCTGCGTTTATTTTGTTTTAATTGAAGAGCAAATTGCCTTTCTAGATTAAATGTATATCTTATTTATAATTCTACGTTCCATCAATATGTGCCAAAGGTACATGTTTCATCGGACATCTATTTTGAGCTATTCATTTCTTTTATATGTTTTGTAAATGTCTCTTCATGTATATTTCCCATAGAAAGTAGAATCCTTTCAATCATTGTCTTCGTCTTGTGTATTTGTAATATTGTTTAAGCATAGGAATGTTTCCTTTTTAAAGAAGAATAATCGCTGGAGAAGAAACTCTGTTGGTATATGTAATTATATATATATATTTATTTATATATATATATATACATGCATTCTATTTTGTATGAGTATGGAAGCACATTTTCATATTTTTTTTGCTTCTATGGCTTGTTTCAAAGACGTTCATATTCTTTGTTTCATTATATATAAAAATTTTGTCTTTTGTGGATCTAAACAAGAGTTTATTGTTTCCTTCATATGAGAGATATTGTCCAGTCACTATTTTTGTTTGTCTTCTAGATTGAAAAAGAAAATAAGAAAAAATACAAATCATAAACAATGACAGATACCGTAGTATCAGCAACAAATGATAAAACAATTTCATCAACCGAAGAAAGTGTTGTTGATGGTGATTCAGTTACAACAATAACAAAAACTAAAACAGTATGAGAAAAAAAACTTGTAAGATTTTTCTTCAAATATTATTTCTTTTATTTGTAGATTCATCCTGATCACTCAGTTACTATAACAACAACAGTTGATAAAACTGATCAGTAAGTGTTAGTGTTTATTCAAAATCGAATATGTAATGGAGAAAATTAAATATTCAATAAAGGTTTGGTTAGCATCTAAATCCCCTTCTTACCACATTCCATGCCTACGTATAACAGAAACAATGACCATAACCTTAGCATAATATTTACTTTTAAGAGCATTGTGATATATTCACAAACATATTATCTAATAAAGCTTAACGAATGCTAGAAAAATATTAGGTGAAATAAGCAGACTTATTCGAATGAAGACATTTATTAAATCTGAAACAATATTTTTCGTTTTTTTTATCAATATCAAATGTTTCGAGTATACCATTACACGGGAATACTATGTTTAATAATGACTCAATTAAAATGTGATAATTTTTTCGTTATTTCATAACAGACAGTTAAGACTAGGTCATAAATAGAGTTTGACTTTTAAACGTCTCTTATGCTAAAACAAAAAAACTTAAATCTCTGATGTTAATTCGTGAGTTTTTGACTGTGAGTTTGAAAATTTTTCGGAAAAGCTCTTTAAAAAACCAGCAGAAGAAAATGTCAAAATCGGACTCTACTACGACTTAGTCCTATGTGTATACTACAATTTAAAAAACATACCTCGATATATTAAGTCGTATACTTATTTTGAAAATCGTTCCCGTGTAAAGGATACTTTTGACTCTTGAATTTACAATAACTCGTAAGTATCTTGAATGTTTGTGAAGAAATTTTATCTATAATCTATTCTAGCCAAGACTAACATTCTCTGAAATTTTGGTTGAAACTGAATGAAAAGTAAAAAAGTTTATGTCTGAAAGGACCACTTTAATAGAATAATTAAGTTTCTCGATAATCGAATTTTTTTATACTAAATTCATTGTATATAGACTATATATGATGATGATTTTTTTCTTTATTTTTTCATTTATTTGTTTTAGAAAAAATGGTGACAATATTGTAACAACTTTAAGTGAAACAACTTCGTCATCATCAGATCCTGATCTTGATAAAAAGATCATCCGTCAGATCGAATATTATCTTGGTGATGTTAACATGACTCGAGATAAATTTCTTAAAAATGAAATAACAAAAGATGAAGGTTGGATTCCATTATCTGTTTTAACAACATTTAAACGTCTTCAATCATTAACAACTGATTTTACAACAATAATTAATGCATTAAAAAAATCTATTTCGGGTCTCATACAAATAGATGAACCACAAAATAGAATTCGTCGTCATCCAGAACGTACATTACCAAATAGTCAAGCTGAACTTGAATTACGATTACGTAATCGTACTGTTTATGTTAAAGGTTTTCCAAAAACAGATGATGTAACCATTGATCAATTACTTAATTTCTTTGAAAAGTAAAATTTATTTTATTTTATTTTTCAAATCATTTGTTTATAATTGTTTTTCTTCTTGTTAAATTTATTCATAGATTTGGTTCAATAGAAAGTGTTCAAATGAAAAAACAATTTAAATCTAAAGATTTTAATGGTGCTGCATTTGTTGTTTTTTCATCGGATGAAAAAGCTCGAGAATTTGTCGAAAAATCTAAAGAAACACCAATTAAATATGATGATGGCTCCGTATTAGAGTGTTCATTACAAGATGATTTTTATAAGAGAAAAGCATTAGAATTAGCAACTGGTGGAAAATCAACAGAAGATGATGGAAAAGAAAAACAAAAATATGATAAACATGCACGAAAAGAAAAACGAAAAGAAGAATTAGAAAAAAAGACGAATGAACATTTAGAAAAACTAAATAATGAAAATTTATCCGGTGCTCTTATTCATTTGGCTGGTATGAATTGATTCAATATCTTTTTTTTTTTTCGGAAAAATTTACTTTCTTATTATAAAGGTATGACTGCTAATGTTACACGTGAATTAATTAAAGCTAAATTTAATCCATTTACAAAAATGCCTTGGATTGATTTTAATAAAGGTGATGCTGAGGTAAATTATTAGTTATATATTCAAACAGAATATAATTCAATGATTATATTTAGGCATGGGTACGATTAAATGAAGCTAATACAGCAAAAGATGTTTTAGAAAAAGTCTTAGAAGCTGGACAAGGCAAACTTGTAATTGATAATCAAGAATTGATTTGTCGTGTAGTTGAAGGTGAAGAAGAAACACAATTTTGGAAAGAAGCTAATGAAAAACGTGCAGTAGAAAGAACAAAGAAAAGTGACCGATATGGTGGAGGTAAACGAAATGTACGTGGAAAACGAAATCGTCGTGGTGGACAAAAACGAAAACGTGATCAAGGTTAGTATTCATTGATACTCATTTAGATGAAAAATTATTAGTTTTTTTATTTTAGAAGAAAATGGTGATAATGAATCAGATGAAGAAGAAGAAGGAGAACAATCAACTGAATCTAAATCACCAAAAAAAGCCAAAGGCACCACAGCTGATTAAATAGTTTTTCTTTTGTCTGTTTTTTTTCTTGTGTAAAAGTTAATATCAGTAAAGTTTTGAAATACTTTGTATGTCCTAGATGCATTTTTATCTGCATCTATTTAACTAGACAAGATAAAAACAGGACTTTGTTGCGTTTGTGATATAAAGTGTTGAAAAAAATCGAATGCTTTATTATCTCATCTGTTTTTGTTTTTTTTTTCGTTTAGCAATAAAGCAACCAATGTTTCTTCGTACAAAAGTTTAATACTTAGATAGACGCCTTAGAAATAAACTTTGCCAATGCAAAAGATCGTTTACTAATAGCAAAGTATGCATTAAAATATACTTTTGATGAAATTGCCAACGAAAATTCGTCAGATACTTTTCGTAATGATTGATTTCATACAAATCAAAGTGATGATAATTCTTTAGGCAAGAGATTCTTGTCATATAATAAAAACAATAGTGGACAAGAACGAAAATGATCAAAGTTAAATGCTGAAATATCTGACAAAGTCAACATTCATCGTGAATGAAGATGAAATAAGTTAACTTGATTCAAAAATATAATATGATTCTTTATAAAATTCCTATTGTCAAGGTCTTTCTAAAACAAATGTACTCAATTCTTCGTCTATTATTAACCCGTTAAGTACTACCGTGCTCAATAAGGCAAACTTATTTCATATTTCAGAAATTTTAATAAACTTACGAATTCGAAACGATATCGAAGTACGGTTTTTGTTATGACATACAAGACACATCGACATAGACATCCATATATAATGTATAACGTTATCCTTCGAGTACGAGCGTACTTTACAAACTACACATTTTATAAGTTTCTGACGTTTTCAATAACCCACGAACGCAAAAATATATCGAGATGCATTTTTCGCCACACCATATAAGAGATTTCGATGCATACATCAATATAAGTGTTAAAACCCTAATGAGTTTTGTGACAGTGTTCAATAGAATTTTTAAACAACGTCCGTGCTTCTTCACAGAGATGACCAAAATATTTACACATCATCCCCATGGAGGACTACGAGGATGAGTTGAAAATTTTTAAAAAGTTTTGATGAAAATATTCGTAATACAGACTGCTCATATGAAACATAAAATCTAAAAGAAATTACGTCCATTAGTTGAGCGATGCTACTCAAAGACTTATAAATCATTGGAGAAAATCAAAAGTAATCAGTAAGAATCAGAATTTCATGCTCTTTTTAACTATATATTCAGATCTTTTTTCTGTCTTAAAGTTAATTCATTGAGAACAAATCTTTGATAAGAACGCAAAATAACATTTTTATGAAATACTAAATAAAAAAAGATATTCGTAAAGATATTTACTTTTTTTTGCGATCGTCTACATGTTATTGAAGAGAATCAGAAACACATAATCAGAATCACAATTCAATGTTCTTTCTAAATATATGTTCATCATGTTTTTCTAACTTACCGTTGGTTAGATGTTAGCAATTATTTAAATAAATCAAAAATATTGTTTCTACTAAAATACCCTTTTTTTTCTGTCATTCATAACTTCTAGGTATGGGATATTGTAATAATTTTGACTTTCTAATATTGTAAAGACTTTAATTTTCTACCAGATCATGACTTGCAGTAAACTAAAACATAAAATAATCAAAAGTTATAAATTTTTTTGAACAAATACTCTTTTGCGAGATGGTATTTTTCAAAGAAATAATTTTTTTTTCTATTTTTTAGTATTTAGAATGCAATAGATTTCGATTGTTCGTAGTAGTATGTAACAAGAGAAGAAAATTGGGCGTTTTGTAAAACAAAACTCACTTCATAGACCAATTTATAAAAAAAGATTTTCTAATAGTATAGTTTGATCAAAATACAAAACTAAACTATAGATGAAAAATTCCATACGGACGTTACTGTTTGGTTTCTATCAAAAGTTAGCTCTCAATGAATTAACTTTGAGTCTGAAAAAAAATTCTGAATACATATTTAGAAAGAGCATTAAATTCTGATTCTTTCAAGTGACTTATAAATGGACGAAAATTAATTAGACATGTCGTGTAAAGTCTTTCGCATCAAAGGTTATTAAATAAACTTTTCATATACTACTGTGAATGAAAGAAAAATTGGATCGTTTAATACTATCATTAACCGTTTGATGACAGAATTAGTGTTATAACAAACAAAAATGTTATGAAACTCTGAGACAATACATATATACGGGCAGTGGATAGAATTAGAATGTACCGGATGAGAGACAACTCGTATGAAGATATCAAGGACACTTCACGAGAAACTGATAATAAATGTCATCATTCAACGAAGACTCAAGGATGTAGTATAGATGTAATGGGTCTAGCTGCTGTAAGAAAGAAGATGAATAAGAGCACAATACGAGTGATATTTACAGGCTAAATTTAAAATGATGGATTTATGATCTGTAGGGCCATCTATGTCATTGGAGTATCATAAGAGACTTGTATCGTAGTCATGAGACGACTAAAGAGGGATGAACGACTTTCTTCCACTAAAGAACAACATAAGATACATCCTTTCCTTTCACGTAATAAAAATTTTCCTCAGATAGCTATGTCACTACAAGAGACATGTTGAAGTCAATCATTAGTTGAATCAATACTAAAGCACTTATATGTGCTTTTCGTCCCAAAAGAGTTGGCATGATGAATGACTTAGCAACACATGTGATGAATCATTTATCAAATTTACAATAAAATAGTATTAATCAACAATAAGTAACAAACAACACTGTCGTTATATAAAAACAAACTGAAATTTATGGCTTTTTAATGTCACAATTAGGAAAAAATCTTTGACATATCAGCTTAGTCTGAGTCAATCTATTGAAACGACCTTAGAAAGCGATGGATTATGATAAAAAATAATTTGAGTACTAATCGTGCTTTACAATCAAATATTATAGATGTGCATCGAGATGCAATCTTTAGTCAACATGTAAAAGAATTTTAAAAAAAGTTTTCGAAAATCTAGAAAATTGCTCGTTACTCTTATGAGTATCATTCTTATTCCTTCTTTTTTTTACACGAAAAACATAATAAACGTCAAATATTGAGATTTTTGTAGCAATTCTGTGGAAGAAATACTATTTAGTGTGCGATATATTGTACTAATGATATGATATTTTCATATCTCCCGACATAGTTAAGAAAGTCGCTTCTGTAGGGCTGGATTAATTATGAGCATTTATATCTGTATTTAGAAATTCTTGCAGGATGCTATGTGTTGCTCGACGATGTTTGATTTTTATGCTTAGAAATGATTGAGGAAGATTTATTGTGTATTACTGTATTATTTGATATATTTTACTTATAGGACAGAATTGATGTGAACTAACTCTGTATCTGCCAGTGCACTTTATACAGTACGATTTTTTTTTTCAAATTCCTTAATTTTTGAACAAATCTCGAACATACAAAGAGATCGAGACATAATGATGCAAATTTTGTTTTCTGATCTCATATATTTTATTAATTTTGCTTGTACGTGTATGGAATACGAAAAAGAAAACAAAATAAGTTAAATGACTTTTTGTTTACGTGAGTGTGAAATTATCTTGATAATATTTTACCTATGAATGTTTTTCTTATAAATTTCATTATTATATTTTTGCATGAGTATCATAGATATTAATCACAAAAGATATGGTAGTATGAGTGATCTTTAGTTTTTCACGTTTGTCTTTCTATTTATATTTCGATAGTAGGTGTTCATTGTTAATGAATTTCTCGAATCAGACACTATAGTTAATCCTCATACTTTGCGTAAATAATTTTAAAAACACTTTCGAGTACCTGCTGCAATTTTTAAGCAAAAATAACATTTCTCGACTAAACTATGAGGTTTTTATCGAAAAGAGCCTCAAGTTCGAAAATTGACTCTTGATAGTACAATAGCTTTGTTTCAATGATCATTAAAAGTTAATACTGTAAATTCGTATCGTAGATAGAAGATAACCAGGAGTATATTTTTTGTAAAAACAAAAAGTTCTATTTTTGTATTGGAATAAGGGTTATTAACACATTATGGCACAAAGAAAAGAAACACTTATGTACCATCAATAGAATTGTAAAAACTGGCCTAGAAAAGGAAAATTTCCCTAGACGGGGAAGTAACTCGAAAATTTTCCACAGACTCAATAGTTTCGAAAAAACATTTGCTAACAATTATTTTTAAAACAAATCTCTTAGGATGAGAAAAATTTTACAGGACGTAAGTGTGCACACGCACACATATTGTTGACCTTGACTCATGAGTTATCCAGAAAAAAAAGGCTTAAATTTGTTCGATGATCAGCATTTGATAATAACAATAATTAAGCATTTTTTTTTAGATGTTCCCTAGCTGTCATAATCAAACACAGGTACTCAAAGGGTTATATTTACTATCGTACTATGATTATAAACTTTTGTATAAAATTCATAACAATTGTTTTTTTTCTGAGATATAAATACAAAGAGAAAAATTTTGAAGAATATATTATCGTACGATGTTTTCATGCTCAATTTTTTCTTGGTTCATTAATTGATCCGAACAACGTTAATGAAGAAAATAAATAAAAGAAAAAAAAAGATAATCTTTCATCATAACGTATCGTATAATTAGTATCACATAGATATAGTAAAACTATCAACACACTCGAGAGAATAGATAGCAATAAAACAATATTTTATCATTTTAATTATTCGTGTGCTTTGAACAAGTTTGCCTATTTAGATACGTATTTCAAGTGAAAACGAGTTTATTGCATGCACATCCTCCGACTTTAATATGTCTGTAAATCATTGAGTAAATGAGCTCAAAATTTATGATTGACTAGACACATATCTTGTTTTTTTCAATTAGCGAAAGAATTTTTTCAAAATGTTGACAAATGATCGAGATATGTGCTGCACAAAAAAGTAGATTGATTGTGTTCTATATAAGTACAAAGTCTGCATTAAGAATATTATTCCAAAAATTGTGTCGAATGAGAACGCGCC